CCTACTGTAGATGCTAGATGTACTTCTGCTGCAATACTATAAGTTACTCAGTACTTATGTCGTTTTTTGATCTGGTACTTTTGCTCTTCTACTCAGGTTCTTTTTCTGGAAATGTACTTTTACTTCTACTTGAGTCATTATTTCACAACCCCTTTGTATTGACTTCAGCTTTAAACAGTTAATAAAGCAGGGGCTTTATGTATAATAGACAGGCCTGTTGTGATATCTATATAAATGTAAGAAAATATTTAACAACAGGCCTGAACTTTGAGGATTGTGGGGAGAGAAGGCTCCCTCTAGTGGTCCTCCATGCACAAACACACCCAACCCAAAATGCACATGTAACTCATTCTTCGGCCACAAGAGGGCGTGTGTGACCACTGTGTGAAATTTTCCAGAGTGCGTGTGCTTCGCTTTACTGTAGCAGCTCCAGCAGTATTTTAACTATGCATGAATGTCATTGATCGTTCAGCTGCTGCCTTTCTTTTGGCTAACAAATACACCCACGTACTCTCTCCTCTTAAACACACCCACGCGCTCTCTCTCTCTCTCTCTCTATCTCTCTCTCTCTCTCTTATCTCAGTTACCAGACCTGATGTGAAAAGATGGTGGATTTAAACAGCCAACGCCCGAGAAGCCCCTACGACAATGAAAAAGGTAAACATGAAAACACGGCATGAATGGAAGGAGAGAGAGAGAGAGCGAGAGAGAGAGAGATGGGTGTTGGCTGGGGGAAGCCTGCTAAACAACGAGCAGAACTATGGGTAGAGGTTCTGTTAGACTGATCACCACATGATGTCAGGTTGCTAGGCAACAGGAGGAGAGAATCTCCAGTAGGGTCACTCCTGATTACTGAGTGCCTCCATACACGCGTGCGCTCGCACACTAAAGCACACACAGGGCTAAAAGCAGTTGAACCTCAGCTAAAGTTGGAAAATGACGTCACTAGCAGCTCATTTTAAGATTCTTTAGATCTTTTTGATTCCGAACGCAGCTCATCTACGCCTCTACGACATTGTCATGTGCTAAATGTGCGTGGGTGGATTTTTTGATCACTTTATGATCTTTATGATCACTGATTAGTTACAAATCGGTAGCTCGCTGATAATTAAATGTCTATACTCTTTAGCTGTTTCCGAAAATTAGGCCTACACTTACTCGAATTCACAGCATTGTTCAATCCACAATAAAACCCTCTCATGTTCTATTACTGCAGTATACGTTTGTTTGACAACGTGATTCATTCATTCATTCATTCATTCAGTCATTCATTCATTTATACTGTAGCTTGTTCAATAATTTAGAGTTATTTGTTCCACATCATTTAGTCTTTAAGTTTTTTCTATAAGGACTCTTATTGTGAAGGCTGGGTTACAACAGGAGGAACTGGTCAGGAGGGGCTCGGAAGCGATTTGAAGGCCCATTGCGTCACAGCGGCGCGACTACACTTTCCCATTTTGAATCTACTTCATATGAGAAATGTGTCCTTCTTTTCCATGGCAACGAAGAATCCAATGGATGGATCCTTTGCCAGCTAACATATCAGGGGGTTTATTGTGTGCTGGCGGAGATTCGAGAATGTGGCAGCGTCAGCAGAGAAGTGAACGGCAGCTGAAGAGACACTTTTAAATATAAGTATTGGGTTCAAACTGAGGCGAATAGCTAACAATACAAATGTTAAAAAAAAAAAAAACGTGGTTGGCACTGGCTAGCCTTCGGGCCATTGTGCACTGCTTCCTCTGCCTGCGATGTCAGCGGAAACTCCGGGTGCAGATATAAACAAAGTTGGCGACGCACACATGCAGCATTTGACGGGCAGTCCAGCGATCAGAGCTGTCGAACGTTAGTCAAGTGTGGCACCATTGCTGGCATGGGCAGAGGTCATGACAGAACTGATGAAAGGGCTGGACAAATCCGCATCTAGACAGCCAGTAACATGGGATTATCACCGCTGCCGAGCCTGTGGCTGTCTGGGACATCTGGCTAGAGCTTGTCTGCTGGCCATACCCACAGCTATAGCCCCGGTGACACTAGACTATCGCCGGTACTGGACGTGTGGCTGGCCAAAACATCTGGCTAGGGCTTGTCCATTGGGGTAAAGTCAGTGGGAAAGAATGCTGGTCAAAACAGAACAGGCAGCAAACTAACAATGACTGTGGTGGGGCGAATGTCCATATCAGATTTGTGCCACATTTCCATCGACACATAAAAAGAGTTCCATGCACTGCTCTGGAGGACACAGGGTCATCAGTCACAATGGCCCAGCCAGAAGTGGTACCTGCTGGGTTCAAGCTGGAAGGCATGACTGTTCATCTCTGTGTGGTGACTGGTGAGGTAGCACCGATCATGAGGACAGGGTAGCTAATGCTGACAGTTGGTGGCAAGAAGATTTAGCCATTTAGTCTGGATAGCTAAAGTCCAAGACATGCATTTTAGGCCTAGACTTTTTGAGAAGGAACGAGTGCCAAATGAGGACCTAGAGGGTGCCACGCTGAATTTCAGAGGCAGCCATGCGGTGACAATAAAGCCACCGAGTGCCCAGTGCATGGTGGAACATGCACCATCCAAGCCAGTTGGAGGATTTCCAGGGGCAGAGTGCCCTGTCAGGTCAAGCACAGCACGACTTTGTGCTTGAGCACACAAGCAGCACATCCTCCAGCATCGACAATGCAGAGGACGCTGGAGAAAGCAGAGGGCGGCTGTGAGGAGCGTCATTGATACGGCTGTTGCTTTCTCCAACATACTCTGTGTCGTCTGTGTTGCTGCTGTTGGTGCCCTGAGTGGCACATGACTTGACACAGTGAGCTGGCAGAAGTTACGCTGCACCAGGAAGGTGGATGCGGAGCTGTTTGTGCATTGTTGTGACTGGTGTGCGGTAAAGAAAGAACCGTGCCAGCAGTCGCAGGCCTGCTTCAGTCTCTCTACTCCAGTGCACCGGCAGAGAGGACACTACGGAGTTGAGATTTGAGATTTTAGCCATTTCAGCAAACCCAAACAGCAGCGGCCATGAGGAGCACCACCAGTGCCTCTACTGCTGCTCTCAGCGCCCTGAGTGGCACGGGACTTTACACAGTGAGCTGAAAAGTTCTGCCACACTCAAGAGGACAACAAAAGCTGTTCATGCATTGTTGTGACCAGTGCGTGGTAAAGAAAGGACCGCCTGTCACATGCCCCTGCTTCAGTCTCTCCACTCTGGCGCACCGGTGGAGAGGGCGCCATGGAGTTAGAGTTCAGCTGCCTGCCAGCATCAGTCAGTATGGATGACGTCCCAGCCAAGGGAGGTCCCCTGCCCCAGGAAAAGACAGCGGCCCCCAATTTGTAGCGTGTTCAAGAAACCTGTGCATATTTATTCTGGGCTATTTGTTCTACAGCAGTAGCTCTGAGTTCTTTCTGTAAGGACTCTTATTGTGAAAGTGGGGTCAGCAAGTTTTGTTCTATGTTTATGCATGTACAACAGGAAGAACTGGTTAGTTGGAGCTCGGACACGAGAGAGTGTGGACCTGAGCTGAGGCCTGAGCTAGATGTTAGCCTAAAGCCTCGCTTTCTGTACGGCATGGCTGAGGCCAACATAAAGCACAACTTATGCATAAGTTGCGTGTCTCTTTTAACAGTGGTAAACACTACATCCAAAAAACGTGCCAAAACGTGCACTCAACTGACATGAATAATGTAAATTCAATTCTGCTTCTTAAATATACCGTTTTTACTGTATACCAACACATTTATCTGTACACTGAGGCACAGAGGCATAGAGCAGCCTACCGTTATACTCAAATAGCTACCAAACATGAGTGCACTTTAAAATAAAGTTTCCATTTAGCTTGGATGTACATGTCCGTGAAAAAACTGAATCTCAAACGGCTCCCTTCTCCTTATATATATTAATTTTGGCTTCTACACCCAAAGAGCCCAGGTCCAGTAGGGGATTGTACACACGTGGCTGAATCAGAAACAATGCTTTGTTGGACATTTTATGCATTGTTTGGATGCAGGAACCATTATTTTAAGACCTACTTAGTGCACTATGTGGGGGATATGGAGCTATTTGAGATGTAGCCATTTTAACTGGTGTGCAACAGTATGTGGAAGGTTCTTTTGTGTTGGAAAAGTAGTACCTTAAACTTCAAGAAGGTTCTTCACACACATTTTCATTATGTTAAAAACGTGCAGCTCATGCATAAAGGTGTAGTAAGATGCAACAATGCTTTGTGTGTAAGCCTCAGGCCTAATCTATGACTGTCACTCTCTCTTTGTAAAACAGCAGGACAATTAAATAGTTATTATGTAATTTGCTGCATATGCATAACAAAAACAATGGCTGTCCATTCAGTTAAAACTGAGCTTTGGATGATGAGGGGAGTCTAAGCATTAGTTATATCAACTAATTCATTATTTATAAAATCTACATCTTTTCAAAAAAAGGTATATTTTAACCCTCCACTTATTGGTGGGCCATTTGTCTCATCTGTGTTAGTTTATTGTATACGGCCTCTTATTGTGAAGGAGGGATTAGCCCACTTTGTTCTATGTTTATGCCTGTACAACAGGAAGAACAGGTCAGTCAGAGCTTAGCAGCGAAAGTGTGCAGACCTGAGCTAATGCTAAAGCTGACTATTAGCCTAAAGCCTTGCTTTCTGTATGGCGGGGCTGGGGCCGACTACAGTCTTTTATAAAGCGCAACATACTGTTTAACCTGTTTTCAAAAAATAACACATTTCTTAGACTTTCAAAGGTATTGGCTTCCCAAAATATGCTTTATTTTGGAAAACTACAGTGTAAGTCCGAAACCTCTTTGCTCTGATTCAAAAGAAAAAAAAGTAATTTTGCACATTTTGAACAAAAAAAAAAGGTCACAGATTCTCAACTCAAAAACATTTCAATGTAACAAAAAATGTATGCATTTCTCAGAGATAGTCAGATAAAAATTTCTGGTACATTTTGGGGATTCATGATAGAGTACTGTGTGACAGTTAATGATGAGGAAATTAAGTATACTTTGGTACAAAAAATATGATCTTTATTCTTTTGGCTTTTTAAAATAATGTCACCATGTAGTTGGTTAGTATAGTGCATGCAGTTTACTACAACACTACGAATGAAATATGACAACCACTGATTGCTTCATAAATTCATATTTACATTTAAAACCGGGACCTGGCCCTCACACATACTGTAGCACTGTGCAAAAATGTAAACAAAATAAATCAGTCAATTAAAAAAAAAAAGAAAAAAAAGAAAACATGAGCTCCAAACTACTATTTACAATATAAACATTGAACAAGAGAATGGGAATAAAGCACATCAATGCTGGTCCCAGTACAGTCACATATACTAGCTCTCTGTCTCACACACATATATATACTATATAACTCTCTGTCTCTTGCGCATACACTCACACTCACATCTGAGCGCATGTGCTCTCGCACACACACACACACACACACACACACACACATACACACATAGATAATATGCATCCAGATGGCAGTTTTAAGTGGCATGTAAAAGTGCTCCTCTACAGTGTTGAGTACAGAGGTGAGATACAGAGTGCCAATATGTACATACAGAATCACCACCGGGTCACGAGTTCAGAATAGAAGAGCTGATATCATAACCATAATATTCAAACGAACCCATAGTGGCTCTGTGGTTTCAACGACAGACATTTCGAGTTCCACACGTGACAGATAAGTTGTTCTTTTAGCTGAAAGTCTTCCATCAGCTGACCTGCACAGAACACTTGTTTTTGGGAGGTAACTCTTTCTCTTTTGATCTGATAAAACAAAGAGACTAAGAGGTCTTGCAAGAGAGACATTCAGTAAGGTTACATTACTGTTGTGGACATGGGCTCCCGAAAGCACTGCAGCACTGAGATCATTTTAAGGTGGTAGAGAGAAAGAACACCTTTTGAGCTCTCTCTCTCTCTCTCTCTCTCTCTCTCTCTGTAGCAGTTAAAATGATCTTTGGGGAACCTGGTCCAGGGATTTTGTTCAGTGGACATTTCTTTCACAGGAGTGGACATTCAGGCTTGCATGAGTCTGCTGATCATACACTAACCAGGAAGAGGAGGGAATGTGGTCTCGTCATCAACGTTCCCCCATATGCTCAAACTGCAGTTTGTTCTTAGGGGGGTTTCGACCACCATAGTGAGACATTTACGTTGCTGACTCGGAACTTGAGATTTGAGCTTCACTCACATACTCTAAAATCGTGTTACATATTTTTTTGTCTTTTTTTTTTTGTTAAATAAGGCAGCGCAGCAATACATGTCTAGCTATGATTATGTAAAACATTCCCGCTATCCCAGAGGCAGTGAATCTCCTGAACCTCAAAACCATGTTGTGCTCACAATGAGGAGATTGTAGAACCTCCAGAGTGAACCGACAGAGGTTCCCATCTTTAAATTTTTGTTCCACATGTAATTGATATCATGTGTAATATGGTAAAAATGGACCATCACATGCCTTTATCAAAGTTCAACACCACCACATCTCCCTATCCCCCACAGATTTGTCCTTTGATGAAAGTTCACACAATCAAACTTATGACTAGAAAAATTCAACATGGTGTTTTTTTTAAAAAAATGAGCTAATGTAACAAAAATGTGCAGGTATATAATAATACGCTATTCAATTCAAAGGACACCAGTGGTAGTGGCAGTACTAGCTACTGATGACCGTGTAACAGTTTCCTATAGTCCTCAGGATTGTTTCACAACACTCGAAATGAAAAGACAAACCCACCACCTTCGCTCTACACCATTCTGTTTCATATCACTGTCCTTCTTAACAGTCACAGTCACACTCGTTAGTGTGCAAAGCATGTGTTTGTGTGTCCATGTCCTTATATGAACCTTGTCATTACAGACGCACTAGTCCGTCTCTGTGCACACACACACACACACATCCATCACAAACACACACACACACGCTCTGTTTGGCATGGGTCCCAAAACCTTGCAAGGAAGTCCACACCCCTTTTCTCCATTGGATCTGTAAACAGTGTCTCATTGAAACGGCAAAGTCCCCCCTTTTGGTCTTTCCCTTCGCTTGTGTGCGAACCTCTCGAAGGCCTTTCATTTCTTCCTCTCGCGTGCATTGTCTTTCACATTGTCCTCCTTCTCGCGCCTCTCCTTCTCATACTTGTCCTTCTCCGACTTGGCCACGCTGTTGTAGGAGGGCGGCGAGGCAGAGGACGGGGTCATGTCTGTCTTGTCAGATGCTGAGTTCTCATGGAACTTGCCAATCACAAGCACCTCCTTCTCGGGGGGGTGCTCGCCGCCGTCCTTCAGCCTCTGCCGGTACATGTCTGAGGCCTTTTTTACGGTGAGCCGGATTCGGTAGCGCCGGAAGGCTCTCTGGATGACAATGGCTGACATCTCCTCCTGTTTGCGGCGCAGCGTGGTGGTGATGGGCTCGTAGGACACCTTGGAGGGGTTAGATGCCATGAAACGCTCCTCCATCTGGCCACGCAGTGCGTCCATCTCACCCTCCTCCCCCAGCACTCGCAGGGTGAAAGCAAACAGGATGTCCAGGCAGTGGATGCGGTCCCCGCTGACCATGGGCAGATCCATGGCAATCAGTTGGATCTTGTTGGGTTTGGGGATGCGCAGCGGCGGGTCCAGGGAGTCGGCAAAGTCAGACAGCTTGTCGTACTCCACAAACTGTGTGGCGTTGGGGTCGAAGCGCTCCCACACCTCATAGAACATCTCAAAGTCATCCTCGCTCAGTGGCTCTGCACTCTCCTCCGTAGCCACACTGAAGTTCTCCAGGATGACGGCAATGTACATGTTGACCACAATCAAGAAGCAGATGATGATGTAGCTGACGAAGAAGAAGATGCCCACCGAGGGGTTGCCGCAGTCACCACGATATGAATTGCCAGGGTGTTCGGCCTTATTGTTGCAGTCAGGCTCGTGTTTGTTCAGGATGGGCGCCAGCAGGCCGTCCCAGCCGGCTGACGTGGTGATCTGGAAGAGGCACAGCATGGAGTTGCCAAACGTCTCAAAGTTAAACATGTCGTCGATGCCAGCTTCATGCTTCACATAGGCAAAGTTGGACATGCCAAAGATGGCATAGATAAACATGACAAGGAAGAGGAGGAGTCCGATGTTGAAAAGGGCAGGAAGGGACATCATTAAGGCAAACAAGAGCGTACGGATACCCTTGGCCCCCTTGATGAGACGGAGGATGCGGCCGATCCGAGCCAGTCGGATGACTCGGAATAAGGTAGGAGAGACAAAGTACTTCTCGATTACCTCAGAGAGGAACATACCTGAAAATGGAAGACATGTTTACATTTTTTTCCACAGCTCATATCTTATTAACAGAGTTTACACTCATGCACAAATATCTATGACAGAACACACTCATTATGGCATCTGGCAGCCATCTTGAAATTGGGCGGACATAGCTGAAAGCCAAGATGGCCAGCAGATGTCAAATTTAGCTCCTGAATATAAATGAATAAACACTGTGCTGCTATTCTTCGTTTGCTGTTCCCATGGTTTTTCTGCGACTGACGGTGATTGAGTATTCTGCCTGTTTTCATTATTTTCATGAAATAAGTCCTTATTATTTAAAGTCATAGCATTAAGCTCAGAAGCCTGCTGAAGCCTTAGGTGCCTCAGAAAACTTTAAAACCAATTATCTGGACAAAAGCTGTTTTTGCAAGTAAAGAACACAATGTAACATTGGAATAAATGCAAACATTGAGTCAATAAAAAGTAAAACTTTTGTAGTTGATATCTTTTGAGCTTGTTAGAAGAAAACAGGTTTGGTTCAAGATATCTCCTCGAAGCCTTCAGCAATCTCATGAATTTGTTAAATTTCACCACCAGCACAACTGTTTTAATATAAGTAAGGATTAATTAGCCAAACCAGGGACTGGATGTCACTACAAATAATACTGGGCTGCCACGAGGAGAAGGTTACAATTGGTTGAATGAAAACAGTGACACACATAAAATCAATGCTTATTGTATTAATATTGTTTTTTTTTCTAATATTAGTGTTTGTCTAAGCAAAAAAACACATTGATAAATAGCTTTTTGAATGCAATTTTCTAAGAGTTTTGCTTAGTATTGATTCTGGCAGACAACGTCTATTAAAATATTTATGTTAGTTTATCTCTCTCCACATACTCTCTCTAGCACTTACCGACAATAGACAGAATCACGACCACAAAGTCGAACACATTCCAGCCGACGGTGAAGAAGTAATGTCGCAGTGAAACCATCTTGAGCACACATTCACCAGTGAAGAGCACGATGAAGACCAGGTTAATCCAGTACAGGATATTGTCCATCTCTTTTGTCTGGTCATCTGTCTCCACCATCATTGTCACCATGTTCAGGCAGATCAGGATCATAATGATGATGTCAAAGGCTTGTTTGGTGATCAAATCAAAGATAAGGCCCTGGAACTTGTTCTGGAAGAATGTCAAGTAAAAATTTTAGTTAGATTATACCACACAAATACAATAACAATACAATTCTGAATACCCAACTAATCAATAGCTATAAAGCTACAAACCTCATTTCTGGAAAATTTGCAACATTTTGTAAAATGAAATAAATCAAGAATCTGTGATTTGTTCATTCTCTTGAATCTTTATTTAACTGACAAAAGTACAAAGAAAAGAGTTGTAATGTTTTCACTGACCAACTTAATTGTATTTTGTAAATATATAAAAATATAGAATTTTATGCCTACAACTTTCTCAAAGTTGGAACAGATGCACCTTTACCACAGTGTTACATCACTTTTCCCTTTAATTACACTTTTTAATTGTTTGGGAGCTGAATATACTAATGTTGCTTTTTTGCAAGTGGAATTTTTGTTTATTCTTGCGTGATCTTGGTTTAGCTGCTCAGCTGTCTGTGGTTGTCATTGTCTGATTGCCAGTACAGCACATGCACTCTGTGTCTATGAGGTTAACACATATGAAAGTTAACCATGCCATGGACACTGATGCACCCCTATACTATGACAGATGTTGAGTTTTGCACCTTTCATTGATAAAAGTCTGGATGGTTCCTTTTGTCTTTGTCACAGAGAACTTGATGCAAGTTTTTTCCAAAAACAAGCTGAAACGTGAAATGACCTGACCACAGCACACACTTCCACTGTCTTTTGGACCATCTGAGATGAGCTCAGGCCCAGAGAATTAGGCAGCGTTTCTGTATAGAGTTGATATATGGCTTTCTTCTTGCATAATGGGGTTTAAAGTTGCATTTCGTGATGCAGCGGCGGACTGTGTTAAGTGACAATGGTTTTCTAAAGTACTCCCTGAGCCCATGTGGCTGTACTTAACACAGTAGGATGACGGCTTCTCATGCAGTGCCGTCTGAGGGCTCAAAGATCATGCACATTCAATAGTGGTTTCCAGCCTTGAATCTTTTCACAATATTATGTATGGTATGTGGTGACAGAGATGAAATCTTTGCAGTCTTGCAGTGTGAAATGTTCTTTTTGAACTGTTTGACAATTCTCTCACAAAGTTTGGCACACAGTGATGAGCCACCACCCGTCTTTGCTTGCAAAGACTGAGCCTTTGAAGGATCCTCCTTTTACATCCTATCATGATACCCTCACCTGTTACCAATTCACCTGCTTATTGTGAAATGTTTAAAATGGTGTAACTTCAATACTCCTTACCCTTATTTTGCCTCTGCCTCTTATATTTACAAAATACAATTAAGTTTGTCAGCAAAAACATTAAAAGTAATTTCTTTGTATTTTTGTAAGTTAAAAAATGTTCAAGAGAATTAACAAATTAGTTTTCTTTACATAAATGTCTTCTTAAAAGAGAGCTACACTAAAACACTCCATCCTTGTATTTATGTGTTTATGAACTTAAATAGTCTCTAAATGAGAGAAGGAGCATACTGTAGGTCTGGGGATAGGCTTCTGGGGTTTCTTTGAGCCTAGCTTCTTCATGGCATTGTAGTATTTCTTCTGTTCTTCTGTCATGAAGATATCCTGACCTCCCAAGTAAAGGGGGAAAAATAAGAGACTGGTTACAACCAAGGCCGATCACAGTGCACAAAGACCTTAAAAGATGTCTTTTTATACATGTCAGTACTGTTCTGCAATAATAATAACATTATTTAAGTCACAAAGAAAAATGTAATTCTTAGGAATCTTGTCTTAATGAGCAATTATGAAAATGATCATTATACAAATTACTAATATACTAATTATACAAATTTACTATTAAGCATCAATCTAACAATACAAATTTACTATAAGGCATCAACGTTACATACAGACATTGGGTGGGTCCTGACTTTTGACCTACTCTGTACATGATTTAAATATTGCATTGAGATAACACATCTGGGTGAGATTTTAATATAAAACTAAGCTATAAATAAAAGTAAACTGAAGAGAAACAGGCTAAACCCCCCACTTAACCATTCTAAACACTCATCTTTTTCTTCTGCTGGTTGAAGTTATCGATGATAACACCAATGAAGAGGTTCAGTGTGAAGAAGGATCCAAAGATGATGAAGATGACAAAATACAGATACATGTAGAGGTTCACTTCATAGTCTGGCTGCTCTTCCACCTGCAATGGAAAAAAATAATATTAACCATTTTCAGATTTATTTTTCTCAAATTTGCCAAATTTGCCACCACTCAGCTGCCAGTATTACACCACTAAAGATTACTGAACTGAGAAAAAGCATGGAGAAAAAAGGTAATTGCTCAGTCATGCAGGATACAATCGCTGCAGCTGAATTTCAAAAGTAGAACAGCTGGGCAGTGCATTTGCTACTTAAGGAAAAAAAAGAGATCATTACATATTATTGGTATAATTTTACCTAAAAGTAAGCTTCATGCACTTCAACCTAAACAAACATGCTACAGGGAAAACGTCAGGGTTACTGCCTGCCCACAGAGTGTCAATAATTATCTAGGACTGAAAGGCAGAAATAGGTAGCCTACATATAAATGATCCACTCAAATAACAGTGCATTGCACAACGGCTTGAAAGACTTACATTCCGAGAGTCTACTGCTGCATACATGATGTCCATCCAACCTTTAAAAGTAGCCTGATGTGGGAAGAATAAAAAGAGCCATATATAAATATGTAATTTAGACTCCTGTACTCAGAGTAATACAACAGATTAACCCAAGAAAGGGCTACTGATTTTAAGCATCAAAACAACCACAAACCAGAGTAGCAGGGAGACAAAAAGGCTTCCAAAAGGGACATAAACACAAACATTCCATTTGTTGCATATTCCAAGTTTCCAATTCTCTGTCTTCTGAGTACCAGAAGAGCACAGAACGTGAACTGTGTTTGTCCTTACCACTTGCAGTAGGGCCAGGTACCCAGCTCCCACGTTGTCGAAGTTGATCTTGACATTTTTCCAGCGAGCGCTGTCATTGAGGGCCATGCACTCAGACTTGTTGTTGACCATATCAATGGGGAAGAGTTCATCCGTGGTGCTGTTGACGCAGTGATAGTATTTGCCAGCAAATAGGTTGACGCCCATGATGCTGAAGATGAGCCAGAAGATCAGACACACCAGCAGCACGTTCATGATGGAGGGAATGGCACCCAGCAGAGCGTTCACTACAACCTGCAGCAACACACACATTTAAATGTCATTCACTGTACCCCTGAATAATATTCACACATGTTAGTGTGAACACTATACTCAATCAATCATACTGTATACTCATGATGTTAGTTGAATATGGTGCAGTGGATTGCATACTGACTGAAGTGAAGTTTAGATTATATAGTCAGAAGAAATGTGTTTACTTATGACTATAAACGCTACAGAGGTTCATGTTAAGGAGTTTATTTCATGTTGTGATAAAGTTGTCACTTTAATTACACAGCACAGCAAGCATCTATCCTTGTCTATACAGCAGCTGCTGGTAAGGCTAATGTCAAGAGTTTAATTAACATTTCTACAGAGATCTTTTGAGCTAACAAAAAGGTAGACACACAAAATCAAAACAGAAACCAAAAACCTTGTGGAGACACGATGACGCCACTACATTTGTTTACTGCAAATGAAAAAAAGACACATAACAGAGAAAGAAATTAAAGGTCAAAAGCACAACAAAAACATCACAACAAGCACCAGAGATTTATCAGAGAAGATCAGATAGCTTCCACCAAAAGACACAAAGAGAGCCATGCAGAGTCACTTACTGTACACATATTACAGTACTTATTCCTCTGTTGAACCGCATTACACGATACAGTTACAGAAACCAAAATGCTAACAGTGACAGTGAGCCATGACTTGCTTTGACTGTGTGTACAGTACAGAATAATGTGTAGACGTTACTGTACATACACAAGTAATATAAAGCGTGTGTTCATGTGCATGAGTGTGTGCTCATTTTTGTGCTTACCCTCATGCCCTCGAAGCGTGACAATGCTCTTAGTGGTCTCAGGGCACGTAAGGTCCTCAGTGATTTAATGGCACTTAACTCAGAGTAACCTAAAGCAGTGGCAATCAGACTGACCAAAGACACCTGAAAACACATACAAACAAAGGCAAATACATACAGACACACAATGAGGATAGTCTTAAGTATGGTAACATAAAGCACACATATTAAACAGCACCATACACAATGCCTGCATTCAATGTTTCTGTCTCACCATTTCTTACAACCAAAACATTCCAGTTCCAGCAGTGATGAGGTCTGCAAACTAGAACTGGATTCAATGAGGTGTCACCACAGATCAAACTGGAATGACCCAATTGGTTCACGGAAAGAGAAAGACATGACCCACAGCACTACACTTCAGTGTCCGAAAAATTACAAAAAGCATCCCTCTTGAAAAGCATTCAAACCCCATTTCTATCCTCTTTGCATGATCGTCATTATGTTTTGTCAACCAGGTTGCCTTGCATGAGTAAGCTGTCATTTGAAGTCACCATTCCTCCCTTTTACGATCTGCCCATTGGATATGAGGCCAGGTAGCTAACAAACAGCACTGTGCAAACTGCAGGCTTAAATCATGTTACTCAAGTTGCGTCAGCTTGTTAAATAATCTGAAATGTTTATATACTCTTGTACTATGTATGATATGCTGTTATTTCTAAAAACTGTCAAAAAGTATAGATAAATTGAGGTTTCATTTTTTAGTCTATGAAATGCATGATGCTAATTAGTTGGGCGTAAGCATCCATTACATTCTTACATTAGCCTCATAGCTTCAGTGCACAAAAAAGACACAAACTTTAGGCGCCAAACATCTTGGCTGACTGACTACACATTTAAGGAAAAGGGAAAATGATATTATTTTGCTTATTGTGAGTTCAGGTCCAGGCTAGTTCCCAAGGCAAATGCCCTTTCAGTTTCATTTCAATTCAGTCAATTCAATAGACCCAAACTAGTCCCAAAATAGCATTTACATTCACTGTAACATTTTCAAACTGATTTTTAAAGTAATTATTAGAATTCCTGGATGAAGTCAGGTGCTGTGTGGAGAGTGGGTGTTGGTGTCCTGGTGACAGGCTGGCACTCTCTGAAGACTCAGGGGCCCAGATCCTAATAGTGCAGGCCTGCACGCCCAGTGGCATGTGTGAATGAGGTGGGAATGAGTCACCAATGAGTCAGCAGATAACACACAGCTACCACCACTGTGCCTTTGAGCAGTGCATTTAACCCAGTGTGCTCTGGAGAAACTCTATTAAGGTGGACTTTCAGTTCAGTAACCCCTCCCTGCAGTACAGTTAAAGGAGAGGCTATTTAGAAATAAGGCATTCTGGTGTTCCCAAGTATGCATGGTAAATAAAGACTGCCTTTGCTCTAAATTGACTGAATTAAAATTCTTCTTGGGCCATGCAGCTCTATCAGCTGGAAATCAAGGTCGATGAAACCCTTTCAAATGCTTTAAATTTTGGTAACTTTGTAGTCTTGAAGTCAAACGTGCCCATAATTTTTCACACATTCTTCCACATAACATTCAAGAGTCTGAAGAAAAAATAAAAACTGGCTTTAGTAACAAAATAAAAAAAAAAAAACAGTTTTTTTCACGTTGTGTTTTGGGTAGCTGTTTGAGCAAACAACCAAAAGTATAAAAGCACAGAAATCCTGAGACAATGCACAATCATGAGCTAGGTTTAAAAGCATTGTGAAATTACTGGTCATGCTTTAGCATACTGATTACACAACTACTAAGAAATGTAACCACTACTAACCTGTGAAAAATAGATAAGAATGTTGAAGAGGACGAACAGTTTGGGCAACAAATTGTATAGTAAACTTATGCACAGGCTACATTATGTTTTATTCATCCCAATACGCTAAATTCAGCAAATAAACAGTAACTGTGTATTAAATGTGCAGAAGTGTATTGTCTATAGAGGATTAGCTAACTTGTCTCCTGGAAAATCAAGAAAAAATCCGCATGAGACTGTACAAGTCCAACTATACACAACACTCCCAAAGCACACACACATACACATACACACCAATCAATAAGTGAGGACTGTACATACATCTACAATAAGGAAGTCGAGCCAGCACCAGGCATTGGTGAAGTATTTGACGAAGCCATACGCCACCCATTTCAGCAACATCTCCAGGATGAAGACATAGGTGAAAACTTTGTCAGCATATTCCAGCACTGTTTTTATTGTCTTTCGCTGCTCTATGTAGATATCCTCAAACGCCTGCACAGAAACAGACAAAACAAGAATATTTACACTAACTGGATGGGGAAACTAGGAGCTTACAGCTGAGTTATATAATTTCTTGTGTATGCTAATGATATTTGTTTTTGTGAATAGTGAGTACTGAGCTAGATAGAGACCACCCTTTTGTTTACTTGATTTCCAGTTCAAACAGCCATTAGGTTAACTACTTTGTTATTAAGCAACAAACACTAAGCATAATATCAAACCCATCAGTAGGGTGTGGCACCCTACTGCCACTTTTCCATGTTTTCAATCTTAAACCAATGAGTCACAGTTGTGTCCTCCCACCAATAAGACAACCTAACACTATTGGTCTGAAAGGTTGTGCAGCTGTCAAGAAGTCGTTACTGGGAAAAGGAAATAGACAAACTTGGTAATTAAATAAGCAAGCTGCTGGTGTTCTCAGAATAATGAACTGACCACCCAAGAGCCCAGACCTCAACATTACTGAATTAGGTTTAGGATTACTTGGATCGAACCGATTTCTAAGACTGAACATTTAAGTTGTGAAAAAAGTACAAATGCGGATTTAAAAAAAAAAGTGAAAGCAAGTTTCCTGCAAAGAATGGAAGCTGTTACAAAGGAAAAGGAAAGACACAATAAATGAAATTTTATTCAGTTGTTGTTGTAATTTCCTGTTAAATATATTTCTGTTTTTTCCTGATGCTGAAAAATTAATAACTTGTACTTAATGGTTGTTTTGACTAGAAATCAAATAAATAAAAGATGGCCTCTGACTTCTGCACAGTACTGTAGTTTGTGTAAATAATACCTCAAGGTGGTCATTCTACTGAATTGATTTTGGACTATCAGAATCAATTACATTATACAGCCTCATTTCCCAAAAAGTTGGAAGACTAACTAAAATGTAAATAAAAATAGAATGCAGTGATATGCAAATCATGTAAACCCACAGTACAACAATACAATAGTACAACATATCAAATGTTGAAACAGAAATTTTACTGTTTTTTGAAAAAAATATATACTTATTTTGAATTTAATGCCAGCAATATGTTTCAAAAAAGTTGGGACAGGGGCATGTTTACCAATGTGTTGCATCATCTCTTCTTTGAACAACACTGTAAGCATTTGGGAACTGAGGAGACCAACTGCTGTAGTTTTGAAAGTGAAACGTTTTCCCATTCCTGCTTCATATATTTCAGATGCTCAAAAGTTCGGGGTCTTCTTCGTTTCATAATGCCTCGAACGTTTTCAATGGCACCCAGACTCTTTAACTACAGAGCCATGCTATTGCTCTACGTGAAGAAAGTGGTTTGACATTGTCTTGCTGAAATAAGAAAGGCCTGCCCTGAAAAAGACGTCTGGATGGCAGCATTTGTTGCCAAAACCTGTACATATCGTTCAGCATTAATGGTGCCTTCACAGATGTGCAAGTCTCTCACGTCATGTGCAGTAATGCACCCCCCATACCATTATGGATGCCGGCTTTTGAACTATGCGCTGATAATAAGCTGGGTGGTCATTAACCCGGAGGACACAGTGTCCATGATTTCCAAAAAGAATTTCAAATTTTCATTTGTCAAACCAAAAGACACAAAAGTCACAAAATAACAAATAACAAAACAAAACCCTGCTGATTCGAGATCTTATTAAGGAGCATAAGCTAGATTTTATGTTTGTCAGAAACATGGCTTAGTGATAATGGCACAGCAACTCTACTTGAAGCTGCTCCTGAAAAGTACAGATTTATGCATACAGTAAGACAGGGCAGACGAGGAGGGGGAGTGGCCTGCATTTATAATAGTGACTTTATCTGCAAAAGTACCTCTATTGGTGAATTCATGTCATTTGAGTATGTTGCAATCAACCTTTTTAATGATACACCTGTGTTAATAATTGTAATATACAGACCTCCAAAGCAAAAAAGTACATTTATGTCAGAAATTGCAGAATTATTATCAGTAGCGTCCACAAACTACGATAAGATTCTTCTGTCTGGGGACTTTAACTTACATATCGATAGTCCTTTAGATAGTAATTCATTAGAAGCTCTGCCCACAAGCTTAAACACAAAGGTGTCTCAAATCTCGGATGTTTTCTTATCAGATCACTTCTGTATTTTCTTTCAAATCAATTTAGAAGTAAGTTAAGAGAAACTGTCGTAAATCAGAGCGCTTATGGAGGAAAACTAAACTGTGGGTACACTATGATATTCTCAAAGAGCAGATCTCAGTCTATAATAATGCTATGAAAATATCCAGACAGTCATATCTCTCCAGTGAGAGGTGTGATCTTAGACTCTGAGATCTGTTTTACCCCACATGTAAACACGGTCACTAAAGTAGCTTTTTATCATTTAAGAAACATCGCTAAAGTTCAGCCTTTTCTATCTCAGAGCGACGCAGAGAAACTTGCTCATGCATTTGTTACAAGCAGACTTGACCACTGTAACGCTCTTCTTACTGGACTTCCTAAGAAAACTACACATCCCTTACAACTCATGCAAAATGCAGCAGCGTGCATCCTAACAAAAACAAAAAAAGGGAGATATCACATCACTCCCGTTTTGAAAGAACTGCACTGGCTGCCTGTATCATTCAGGATAGATTTCAAGGTTCTGCTACTAGTCTTTAAAGCTCAAAACCTAGCACCTGCTTACATCACAGAGTGTCTGTCTGTTTATGTTCCGGCACGTAATCTAAGATCTGCAGATAGTGGCCTTCTACAGATACCCTCTGTAAAATACAGAAAACATGGAGAGGCCTCTTTCAGTTATTCTGCTTCTAAACTGTGGAACTCAATTCCACCTTTTATTAGTCAGTCAAGCTCAGTGCTCACTTTTAAGAAACACCTAAAAAAGCACCTCTTTAAATTAGCATTTAACTAAAACTGAATGTCTTGTGGTGTTTATCTTATGATTTAATCTTCTTGATTTTCTTCTGATTCTAATTAAATACTAATGATCTCTTCTATAACTATGTTTTATCACCTGTCTGTAAAGCACTTTGAGCTGCCACCGGCAAGAAAAGTGCTATATACATACAATTATTATTATTATTATTATTATTATTATTATTTTCCAGTTCTCTTTAATGAGTTTGGGCCCAGAGAATGTGGTGGTGTTTCTGCATCCTATATATGTTTTTTTTTTTGATTGGTGAAGTTTGAACTGGCATTTGTGGATGCAGCAACGAACTGTGTTCACAGACAATGGTTTTCAGGAGTGTTCCTGAGCCCATGTAGAGATTTTAACTCAGAATCGTGTCTGTTTTTTAATGCAGTGCCACCTGAGGAAGATCATAGCCATCCAGTGTTGATTTTTGGCCTTGTTCCTTGCATACGAAGATTTCTCTGGATTCTTTGAATCTTTTAATGATATTATGTACCATAGATAATGAAATCACCAGGTTCTTTTCTATTTCACATTGAGAAACATTATCCTTGAATTGTTGTACTATTTGCCTGAGCAGTTTCACCTTATCAACTTCTGAAAGACTCAGTCTCTCTGGGATGCTCTTTTATACCCTATCATGGTACTGACCTGCCAATTAGCCACCAGGTGATTTTTTAGCATTACACAACTTTACCAGTGTTTTGCTGCCCCTTCCCAACTTTTTTGAAATGTAATGCTGGCATCAAATGGGCATATGTTTTTCAAAAAAACAATAACAGTTTTTAGTTTCAACATTTGATATGTTGAATTTGTGCTATTTTCAATTAATTACAGCGTTCTGCATATCATTGTATTCTGTTTTTATGTCCTTTTTTATATGAGTAAACATTTACATTTACATGGGTACCTAATGTATTTAGTGTACCAAATTATGCCAAAATAATCAAATTAAATGTATTTGATGATGCACTGAACTGTTTCCTAAAGAATCGTAACTGAATTGAATAGCTAGTGTATATGTATACGCATGTGCAAAGCGTTTGTGTGTTTCAGGGTAGAAGAGTGTCTGCAAGTGCACATTCTCACCAGAGCTCCACTGCTTAGGAGGATCATGAAAATGATGAAGGACTCGAACCAGTTGTGCTCGACAATGACAAAGCATGTCTTCCTCAGAGTCCACCAGCTCCTCCATCTTCCCTTCTCTACGTCCACCTGACAACACTGAAACCTCATCACACAGCCTACAACAGAGAGGGTGGTGGGTATCGTGAGATGAAAAGAGAAAAAATCGTATTACAAGCAGGAGTCAAATACTCTAAAAGGAAAATGTCTTCTAATCTGCAAAAGACTCTCACATGTGATTTAAATTAAGCCCATGTAAAGTGACAGGAATGAAGGTAATCTACGTTAGCTGTGTGGACAGGGGATTGATTGACTTGGGGAAAGCCTCAATCATGTTCCAGATCCTATTCACTCCTTCACCCATTCACCCTTCAATGAGCAACGCTGTACTACAGAGTTAATCTGACTAAGGAGGAGAAATCCCTTCTCTTTGTACAGTTTCAAAAGAAGCTCTTTCTGTCTTTGTGTCTATTTATCTCCCTTCAAAAGTAATAATATTAATAAATAATAATAAAAATAATGCTAATAACAGTAATGCTAATGACAGTTAGTATTTGTCTGTGTAATCAGTTATTCACATAAGGCATTCTGTTTGGAATTAAAAATGATATGCATCATATATAACGAAGTTTTTACTGGCTATGAAACCTAAACCGCAGAGAACAGTGGGACAGGAGCAGCTCATATAGCATCTCATTTTTTCTGTAGGTAAACAGGCAGTATGTTTAATCATGTTTGGCTAAAACACAAAGACAAACGCTAAATCAACAAAGGAATCTGAAACGGATCACCTTTCACAGTAAACTACGGTAAACTAAATAACTGAACACAACAACAAAACCTTCAGTGTTTTCAGTTTTTATTCATTTTTCTCAATTATCCTAAGAATATATATTATAGGATGGAGGGATCATATTATTGTCAGCAGATATTTGCATAAAAATATTCACATTGGACTGATGTTTAGACTTCACTGATACTTCAAACCGATATTTGATGATGTATTTATTGTATTCCGGAGAATTAGAGTTTAGAGAATTTAGGTGATGCAGGATTTATTGTGCTAACATATCAGCATTTTATTCATTTTACTGCATCTGTAACCATCTACAAATAAATGTTACATTTCCAGATGGATCAAGTCACAATTTCTACATTTTATTAAAGTTTGGCAGATATGTACATGAAAAATAGGTCACACATTGTTTGGATGGTCCTCTATAGACGATCTACAGATACTTATATTATTTACAAACTTTCTGGTGATACTCAGTTGATTATCAACAACATTAAGGTTAGGGTTAGGTTTAGGAGTAGGTGCAGGTTTTGCCTTGAGGTTAGGGTTAGGTTTAGTGTTAGGGACAGATTTAACAATCTTTCACACACAACTTCAAGTTCAGTTGTATTTAATGGATATTTAATTGAAAGTTGGTTAAATGTAGACTGAGCATCTACAACATCTACAGTGGACCATCTGAATAAAGTGTTACCAAAAAATATTGGATATTGGCATCGGTGCAGCCCTATATGAAATATTTTCTTATTATCTGAATTTCAAAAATTGAAAAAAAGTTGAAACCCACATGCCTTATATAAAATTGACTTACTTTCTGGTTGTGGTGGACTTCTGTGCTTAGCCTAGTTCACACTGAAGCTATTAATAATGGCATTCGTGGCCTCCTACTGTACTGCTAGTGGAAGCTAATGTCAGTTTAAATCCAGTTCTGCCATGTAGCTGCTCGGGATTCTACTGACAGATACCAACTCCTGATTCTCCAACTCCTGAAGTCCTTTCTGTCCTCGACCTACTCTCTTGCACTCTCATGCACATTAACCCCCCCCAAGCACACATATACACACCACATGATGCACACACCTTCAGTGAAGCAGTCCTCTGGGTCCAGTGACTCTTCTGGCTCTAGCTCTACTGATTCGGCCCCCTCTCCGGGGGGTCGGATGTCCACTGTGCTTCCTTCGGACGAGCTGAGTACCGTGTCCACGGGAAGCTTCTATGCATACACACACGCACACACACAGACGTGCATGAAGATAGCCACGCAAGCAGAGGCACACACACACACACACACACACACACACACACACACACACACATGCAAACACATGATTAAAACCTCTGTAGAAGGTTCACAGGTCTCTTCAGGTTCTTGCACTTTTTTCATTGACTCATGCAGCTTCAGTCAGATCATTCAAAAGTACCTACGAGCCTGTGGATTTATTGATTTGTTTCAATTTTGTCCGGATTGGTAGCCGTGTGCTGTGAGGTTCAGCACGGGCTCATGGGTAATCTCACATTTAGCTGTGGGTACGTTTGATGTGCCTTCATTCCTTCCTCATGCAATTTTTTTTGAATCAAGGTGCATTTTTTTAAAAAAATCCAAGCTTGTGATCTCGTCAACAAATGTTGAGTGCTTTGAGTATTTTCATGTCCAGTGCAAACAACAACCCACCTTTCCCCCCCCACCCAAAAAATAAAAGATATCTATGTGATTATTCCATGACAGATCAATTACAATAATCCAGATTACAACATATTAGAACATAATCCCGCCCCACTGAATGCATTTCCTTTGATTGACATGAAAACACAGGGTGGAAGTCCATTCCGTTAAGCAGCGGTCAAGCTTCGGTCCGCCAGTCGGAGTTTGAAGAGGAGGGGAGCCGCATTAGCAAATATCTAACACCAGGACCACACGCTAAGTCTGAGACAGCATTCTCTTTACACATTTTCTCTCAAATCACTAAAACAAAAACACATCAGTTACATAACTGATAGACTGTTGTGGTGCTTTTAGAGGTGGGGCCAAAAATATTCACTAACCTTGTACTGCCATGATTATTACTACAAAAAATTTATATTAACAACAAAAGACTTCAAAAAATTTAGAATATCAAAAATATAGCCTTTCATTCCTATAGTCTTTTATATAGTGCAGGTTCTCTGACCTTTTACTGGACATTAATATTTATACACACTGCAATTTTTTTTTACATTATCCATATTGTTATTCTAACTAAGCAGCACCACAATTCTACATTTAGTGTGCTGGAAGAAATGAGACACAACATCCACTACTAAACTGCTGACTGAGTAGTGTTCTATATGAGGCCTGTTGATGAAACATTACAGGCCTATGCCATAACGAAATATATATATTTAGAGCTTGTCGTCTAGTCTATACATTGTATATCCAAGATAAAGGTATAAGTATGGCATGATCTGTTCGTCAACAGTCTCTCTATAATCTGCTGTGTGCCACAGGAATGATGTAATCACGGCAGAACACAGTCTGCAGAGCAGCTGAATTCTACAGCGTGGGTGTGACTGCGGCCGGATCGATGCGAAGGCCAGCCAGAGTGAAAACAATGCGCACGAATGCTGTCTGAAACCGAGTGGCAGCACTGGTTGCCGTGGTACCCAGCTAATGCGGCGCAGGGGAATGATGTAAGCATGCTGTGTGCAGATTCAGAATGTTCCAGAATGTTCTAGATTGTCTCCCAGATTTTATTTTTATTAATATTAGAGGCAAAGCTGTGCAGGCCCATTCAAGCAGAACTGGTCCTCAGAGCTAATGTCATCTTTTCTTTTTTTCACCAATGATTTCCTGTGCCTTTTACAGTTTGCTTCACAGCAGCAAAACTATTTCAAGAAATGGTGGTTTCTTTGCGACTCTCCTGCCACCCCCTCTATGTTTTGCTTTTGCTTTCTTTGGTCCAATTGGGAACAGCCGTCTACGACTTCCAGTATTTTGAGCAAACCTCCTCGTTAGAGCAAGCTTAGGGAAAATATGCAAATTCATCCAAAGCAAGGTTAAACAAAAACACAACAGATTTCAAATTGAAAGTCGATTTTTGCTCAAATCATTAGCTTGATGAACGATTAGCTTGGTTTCAATCAGGGTTAAATTGCCAAATCACTGGCATGACAGCTGTACTGACACCACCATGTAGGTACAGACCAGAATACAGACCCTTAGTGGACAAGGCTTTAATAACACTTTACCACAACAGCAGCATCACAGCCATGTACGCTGCTGAAATTTTACAAAGCTGAGAGCATTTATGATGAACTAATATAGACAGCCTACAAATGTTCCTTATGTCAACTGTTAAGGATTTAATATACAACCCTGTTGATACCAAGCTGATAGTTGAATTAACTGGTTACATAGCTGCAATAGAATATAGCAGCTTTCATCATTCCATTATGGACCATTTTGATGTCAAGATGCAATCAAACAAATATGTGACATGGACTAATTCTACTGAGGCAAAGTCATTCCTTTTTTCTCACTCATTCACGCACTCACTCTCATTCTTTCAAACATGTGCTCACACTCTCTTCCTCACTCACTCATCATACAGTAAATCTGTTCAGCTTTGGATGCTCAATGGCTGACTGATCAAGTCTAAAATAAAAAAGAAACAATTAAATCAGAACAAAAAAAAAATGAAATATAAAAGATGCGCAATGGCTTGAACTATAGATGGGAAATGATGGACTTGCTCATTCCGTATGATTGTTGATACTGCAAAGAAGCCCGGTGCTACAACAGAAACACAAAATCCAAGTAAAGAAAAAAAAAATGAAACCAAAACGCTAACAGCTGACTCTCTCCAGTGCAGGGGGGGGTTTCAAAGGGGATTGGGGAGGGCACAGGCATAGAAAGAAAAGAAAGGGCAATCCGTTCCAAAAGAGAGAGTAAAAATGAGAGAGAGGGAGAGGGAGAGAGAGAGAGAGACGATAGTTTGGTTGGGTTTAGATGGCAGAGGCAGTCTTCATGGTTAGTGTGTGGGAAGAGGAAAGACTCTTACAGGGGTCTCTCAGAGAAAACCTGGGGTTCGTCTCTCATTACGCTGCAATAACAGGTCACACACAGAGAGATACACACTTCACAAAACATGGATAACAACGTCGGCAACTTCAACACACCACCAGGAAAAGATTACAAGGAGGAAGAAAGGAGATTAAGAACAATCTGACAATATTGCTTCCTGAGTTATGGAGATGAACTGAGAAACCACACACACTCATTTACACACGTGCATGTGAGCTCGCTCACACGCACACACACACACGCACACACAGTACACAATATGCATGCACAAACTTAAGCACACCCAATTTCACCCTGGGCAAGGATGCTGCATTTAGCAATTTCTTCAGCAAGCTCACTCCATTCATAGTCTGGGCTGAATGATTCTGTGCCTGCTCAGTTGGTTGTAAATAATAAACATTACTCCGTGTGTGTGTGTGTGTGTGTGTGTGTGTGTGTGTGTGTGTGTGTTTGTGTTTGTGTGTGTGTAGCAGTGTGTGTACTGATATAATGAGAGCATTCAGCAACTGTACCTGCTACAAGGCCCAGAGGTTTGTCTTAACTAGCTGACTATGATCTGGGTCATATGAGCACTGGGGCCTTTGGCATGACACACAGACACACAGACACACACACACACACAGGATGAACTACATGTGTAATAGAAGATGATGCAATGGCAACATAACTCAATGCAACTTCACTGTCCCTTTCAGGGAAAAAGTCCTACTTGAATCCACTTTAAACGCACTTCCAATGAATAACTTTCCATTTATAATAACAATAAAACACAAATCAAGACTTTGCTGTTCTTTGTTTTTTAAGACAATAATTACACATTAATCAACACCATTCTGATATTTGTCCAGCCAGTTTAAAGCACTTTCCTTACCTCTTTGCTGCCCTCCACATCGGATGAATCGCTGCTGAAATCTTCAGTATTCAGATTCTCAAAGTCCGACTCTCCCACCGCGATGGGCACGGTAACAGTGAGACTGGGGTTGTGGATAAACGACATGTAGTCCCCTTCCTCAATGCCGTACTTCACGTGACCTTCGACCCCGTTTCCAGGGGACACACAGCCCTCCTTGAGGAAGTCCTTGCCTAGGTCGACAGCCACTGGAGCATGGTTGGCCAGGCAGTTCTCTTTGCCGTCGCTGTGAAGGTCATCCAAGGGCTTCTCCTCATCCAGGGCCCCGGGCTTGCCACCGGCCAGGAACAGGCTCTGGAAGAACTGCTGAAGGACCGACTTGATCAGGGCGATGCCCTTCTGGATGCGGCCTACGGCGATCTGCAGGTTGTTCATCTCGCTGTCGTCGTCTGTGGCAGCCAGGTTGTCAGCACTGAAAGAGCTCAGCAGCAGGGCCAGGAAGAGGTTTAGTACCTGCAATGCAACCGCAAACATGATATACAATGTAATACACAGCGTTAACACCATCCTGAACACCATCACCACGATATATCTGCACTGAGAGCGATGAAAAGAACTCAAAAACTACTGCCACTACAGTGCATTTTCTTGAATGGTACTTAAGTACCACAGGAGTAATGTTACTTTTTCTAGGGTTTATTTCTAATAGAGTATTCAGTATGGCTATTTTAATTTCCAATTGCTGTTACAGAGTCAAAAAAACACCAGCTTTTCACAACTCAACTTAAAAAATCAATTAGCTGGATGGTTAACTACTACCTAAATAGCTGCTTTGTTCTTTGTTCAGGGAAAAAAGACAAAAAAGACAAAAAAGGAAAAGGCAACAGAGTGCATGAAAATCTACAGATCTTACCACCAGGTTGCCGATCACCATGACCAGCATGAAAACGATGAGGCACATGGTCTGGCCGGCCACCTCCATGCAGTCCCACATAGTCTCGATCCATTCTCCACACAGCACACGGAACACGATCAGGAAGGAGTGGAAGAAGTCCACCATGTGCCAGCGCGGCAGCTCACAGTCCTCCGAGATCTTACACACACATTCACGATAGCTTTTCCCAAACAGCTGCATGCCTACCACAGCAAAGATGAAGACGATGATGGCCAGGACGAGGGTCAGATTGCCCAGGGCGCCAACTGAGTTCCCGATGATCTTGATCAGCATGTTTAGAGTGGGCCATGACTTGGCCAGTTTGAACACTCTCAGCTACAGGACAGGGAAATGAGGTTAGAGGAGAACAAGAGGAGAACATACGTGAACAGATGCAGAGTGAATTTTAAAAACAGTAAAAGTTTGGAAGCGGTTTGGAACTTTAGAATCAATTTCTCATGACATAAATAGAAAGGGCAAAAGGTTATTTGTGGTCATAACATGCATATATGTAAAATGTCTGGGACAAATGAATCTTTTATTGGTCCTTTTTTTTTAACCAAGAAAATGTTACTTACATAAACGTCTTTTTGTGGGGTTTGACACAAAAAGATGCGAACTAACTAAAGATACTTAAAGCATAAATGCAACCATAGCTAAAGATTAAGGAAGACATTAGCATTGTATCATTTGTATAAAGATATATGGCCTCCAATAGTTTCCATTAATTACCAGCAACATCAGCGGTTTGGATTAAGATTTCGTTAATGCAATACACCTGTAAATGCAAATCAAGAACGGCTTCCTCACCAATCTGAATGACCTGAGCACAGACAGACCCTCCACATTGGCCAGGCCCAGCTCCATCAAGCTTAAGCTCACAATGATGCCATCAAATATGTTCCAGCCCTCCTGAAAGTAGTAGTAAGGGTCCAGGGCAATGACCTTCAGACACATCTCAGCTGTGAAGATCCCTGTGAACACCTACAGAGGTACATACTCATTCAGCTCTGTACACACTTCAGCAGCTTAGAATAACAGTGCTGACTTAAATAAGTGTCCTATTAAAATTCATATTGTAATCAAACTCTCAGACATTGTTTATTGTGAAGGCCCACTATGGCTACAGTTTCATTAAAACAAGGACATACTTCAAATTATGATTCTTCAAGGGTTCTTTCATAAAGAAAATTGTTCTATATAAAATCATGACCAAAGAAACCACTGCATGATTAAATATTGTGAAACGTTCTTCAGATTGATGGAAAATGTGCTGTGGATGGTTCTGCACAGAACCTTTTTAAAATGGGTTCTATATAGCACCAAAAAGTGTTCTTCTATTGTGAGTGTCAAGCCTGTAATAATAGAAAAACCCTTTCTGGTGCTACATAGAACCATTTACAGCACATTCTCCATCAATCTGAAGAACTCTTTCATGATGCAAAGAACGCTTTAATCATGAAAAGCGTTCTTTGAGTGTTCATGGTTCTATATAAAACCATTTTCTTTACCAAAGAACCCTTGAAGAACCATCATTTTTTGAATCTGTAGATAAAAGAACACAGAATATATGTGTCGGTTTATATATTCTAGAGTTGAGATTCATTGTTTGTTGTCTTTCTAACAAAATCGTGAACATCCATCTAAAACAATATTTGTCATATTTCCCCAGTTGTCTTTCACTAAATGCTACAGAACGCTGTTGTAGAAATGTTCAGTGGGATTTTAAAAATTCAACAGAATATATTTTTACACCTCAATAACACTTTTTGACATGCTTTAACAATCAGGCTTGGGAGGGTTACTTTTAAAATGTATTCTGTTACAGATTACTGACTACCTGTTGTAATTGTAACCTAATCCAAAGAGATTACTATATTAAAGTAATTTAATTGGATTACTTCGCAGTACTTCTGGATTACCTGTCTTTTTAAACTTGTATAGTTAAATAAAGAAGAGATAAAAATCATTAAAAATAATTTCAAGACTTTTTCACCAAGATTTTAGCAAACACAAAAACTTTACTGTTTTCTGAAATAGAATGATAGATTATAGGTGACTTAAATACTGTGCCTCATACAAACAGTCACTGATTTTACGATTAGCGAAGCAGACAAATTTAAGTCGAGAAATATATAGAAATATTTCAAACACAAAGAGGACACATTTGAAATCAAGGTAGAACTCCTCAGAAAAAAGACTGAGTGACAGGAAAATGAAGGAAGACTAAAAGGGAACACAGTGAAACAAGTAACAGCTGATCCAGTTCATTAAGTTCAACATGTAAACACCATATGGTTTAAAAGTATACTGCTTTCCTCTGATTTTGCATTATTTGTTAAAAATCTGTTGGTTACCATGCTGAAGTCAAAAGATCAATCAGGCAGAAATCAAATTTGAGACCCCTCATCACCAGTAATTACAAATAGATGGCATTTCAAAAACTGTCCATCATGTGTGTTCTGTCTGCTAAAAGGCTGTCCTGGCTCATAAGGTTTCATGTTGGTGTGTCATGCTCTGACTTTGATGATGGTAGTTCGCAGATGCTTCCTAATCAGCTTTCAAGGGTTTCAGTGCAAAGACATCAACGTGTACTACGAGGGAGCTGATCACCTTAGTTACAAATAATGATCAATTACACACATTAACATTTTGCACCCATCATTCAAAAACTATTGAAAGAAAGAATAATACTTAAACCAACTTTGCCGCTCATGAGACTTCGCTCCCTTCTCACGATTCAAGGCTGTTTGTTAACGTTAGCTCACTTCAGCATTAAAATCTGGCAAGTTGCACGGAGGAGGGCTGTCAAAAAGCTAAATTTATAACTCATCAAATTGTAGAATTTCACAGAGCAACAAAAGAGAATAAGTGACTTCCAGATCAGATCAGTCTGCTGATCTCAATTCTGACAGTGAAAATAAAATACTTCCTAAAAGTTCTGTTAACTGGCAGAATAAATGACTGAAGTGCTGCTGGCGAGGGGGATTCTTTAGAAAGCTCTCCTGGCAGCAGAGGCCTCTGCCCCTCCTCCCCACCAAAACTCTTCAAATCTACATGATTCACAGGACATATTTATCATTACGGTGGCGAGTCTGCCTGTATGTGGTTTGAATGTAATCCTGCTGGTAATCACATCATCTTTAAAATGCACCTGTAATCTGATTACAGTTACAGTGATTACAGTTACATTCTTTGTATCCCAATTACATAACACCGTTACATGTATTCCGTTACTACCCAACACCGCAACAATTCAAAACAGGAAAAGAGCATTCAGTATCAAAATAACCACAAGGAGCAATTTCATCATTTGCTTCTATTTTACTGCATTAGCAATGCAGTCAAGTCTAATATGATGTAATTCTGTGTGGCAATTTTCTTTAGAAATTATCTTAAATTCTAATTTTTAATAGTTTTTAGTCCCCTAATGCTGGGGTAAAATGGCTATTTCTGCCTTTTAATCTACTCTGCTTTTAAGTCAATCTCTCAATGATGTTGTCGTGCCTGCAATAAAAAAAAAGTAAAGCTGAAACTTTTTTTGCCACATTGTGAGCAGCAAACAGATCCAGGAATAAATTTTGAACAAATGCCTATGATATTACCAATAAACCTGCTGTAATATAGATTTCATTCTGTATAAATTTTGTTCATGTAAAATGAGTAAGCAAACAATAAAGCTTACAAAAATGCACTGTTTGTGTTTCTCAGGTGAAAAGCAGTTTTGTTATTCCACTCTTATACCAGCTTTCTGTGCTAAGAAAATAATGTAATGAAAGTAGAAATTCTATTCAAAACAAAGCACAGGAATTAGCATTTGTGAGGTTCTCACCAGGTTTCCAACAGAGAGCACATCGTTGAACTCTTTGGTCATGGGGTAGTGTTCCATGGCCATGAAGAGCGTGTTGAGGACGATGCAGATGGTGATAGCCAAGTCTACAAACGGGTCCATCACCACCAAGCTCACAATCTGCTTCACCTTCAGCCAAAGTGGACAGCAGTCCCAGATCAGGAAGGTGTTGGCAAATTTGTACCAGCATGGAGGACACTTCTGCCTGGACTCCTCTAGCTCTGTACAGAGGTCAGGAAAGCATAACATGACACAGATTAATCGCACTGCACTACGCAAAAACAGATTCAGACAAGGTATGAATGTACACACATACAAAGTGGCTCTGTGTATGTGGACACTGTGTGAAGATAAGAGTGGGAAATGTTTTACGGACAGTGTTTAAAGGGCACAGAGAGTCTTAGGAAGGTGTGAGTCAGCGGCTGTAGACTGAACATCTCCAGTGTGAGAGTGTGTGTCATACCCTCCATGGTGTTTGTGAGAATACTGGCCACACTCATAGCTCTTTTTCTTGCCACCGCATCATCCAGGTAATCAGAGGCCTGATGTGACCCTGACCGTTTCTTACGGGCTTCAGACTCTGTAGTTGTGCCCTGGAAGAAGAGAAAGAGAGAAACGCAGGACATATAGAGAGCAAAGAAGAACTCTGTTGAGGATTCATGCATTTGAGTGCCCCATCTTGTATATGCCATGACACCTTCATCTTACATTTTGTTGAATGATTTCTTGCTCATAGCTCACAGAATGTCATTAAACAGTGCCGCAAAATGACAGTAATAACACTTGAATTCTAAGCAATGAGCAACTGTCAGACATTCTTGATATGCTAATGTAAGATGTACCTCAGGAAGCAACCGGCCAATCGGTGATGTAGGCACAGACGTCCCACCCACCAAAGAAACCACTCCATTGCAGTCCACTGTGCAGTGCATCTTCCCATTGGCTGGGAGCACGATCCGGGGGGCACCGAGGCTGCACTGACTGACGGTCGAGTTTCTCCTCTCGATGCGCCGTGGCACAAAGAGCGATCCTCGACGACTGTCACTGTCCTCAAATGTACTGTGCTCATCATCTGCAAAATCATTCTCTGAGCCGAAGTCTCGCGCTCGACCGCGAAAGCTGAACAAACTGGCACGACTGTTCCTCCTCGGAGAGAACAGAGAACCTCGGATACTGAGGAGAGACTGAGGGAGAGAGAGAGATACAATCATGAACACACACAAACCATCAGGGTCAAGGTTAAACTGTACAATCTTGTTCCAAAAACTTAAGCCAGCCAAGAACATTATTTAAGATCATTTATCTCAGGAAAGAGTGTTTCTGCTTGTAAAAACTCTATATAACGTTTCATAAACCTAAATACAAATAAACATAAATGCGGTTTTCTTAAATAACATGAATACTGTTTCTTGTTTTTTAAGAAAGTTATTATTATCTTATGATTTGAACAGATGAACACGGTTTTGTTCCTTTTCCTTGATGCAGCTCCAGCTACATCATGGATGTTACATTCCATGACCATCACACTTGATTTAACTTAATGAAGTACAACCCTGTTTCCAAAAAAGTTGGGAGGCAGTGCAAAATGTAAATAAAAACAGAATGCAATGATGTGCAAATCATTTAAACCTTTTATACAATTCAAAACAGTATAAACACAACATATCAAATGTGGAAACAGAGAAATTTTATTGTTTTTTGAAAAATATATGCTCACTTTGAATTTAATACCAGCAACACATTTCAAAAAAAGTTGGGACGGGGCAACAAAAGACTAGTAACGTTGTGCTGAAAAAACAAATGGTGGAACATCTCACTGTTAATTAGGTTAATTGGCAACAGGTCAGAAACATGATTAGGTATGAAAAGAGCATCTCAGAGAGGCTGAGCCTTTCATAAATAAAGATGGGGAGGAGTTCACCACTCTGTGACAGACTGTGTGGGCAAATAGTGCAACAATTCAAAAATAACATTTCTCAATGTAAAATACCAAAGAACCTGGGGATTTCATCATCCATTGTACACAATATCATTAAAAAATTCAGAGAATCTGGAGAAATCTCTGTATTTAAGCAACAAGGCCAAAAAACAATACTGGATAGCTGTTATCTTTGGGCCCTCTAGCGGTCATATATAAACAAATGCAGAAATGTTGCCGCCTTCTCTGGGCCCAAGCTCATTTATGATGGACAGAGGTGAAGTGGAAAAGTGTTCTGTGATCGACGAATCAAAATTTTAATTTTTTTTTTTGGAAATCATGGACGCCGTGTCCTTCAGGCTAAACAGGAGAGGGACCATCTTGTTTGTTATCAGCACATGGTTCAAAAGCCAGCATCAGTGATGGTATGGGGGTGCATAAGTGCACATAGCATGAGTGACTTGCACATCTGTGAAGGCACCATTAATGCTGAACAATATACACACATTTTGTAGCAATATATGCTGTTATCCAGATGACGTCTTTTACAGGGAAGGTCTTGCTTTTTTCAGCAAGACAATGTAAAACCACATTCTGCATGTATTACAACAGCATGGCTCTACAGTAAAAGAGTCTGGGTGCTAAACCGGCCTGCTTGCAGTCCAGACCTGTCACCAACTGAAAACATTTGCCACATTATGAAACTAAAAATACAACAAAGGAGACCTGAACTGTTGAGCAGCTGAAATCACGCAAGAATGGGAAAACATTTCACTGTCAAAGTTACAGCAATTGGCCTCCTCAGTTCTCAAACACTTTCTGAGTGCTGTTAAAAAAAAGACGTGATGTAACACTGTAATAAACATGTCCTTGTCCCAGCTTTTTTGGAATATTTTGCTGGTATTAAATTCAAAATAGGTATATACTTTTCAAAAAACAATACACTTTCTCAGTTTCAACATTTGATACGTTGTCTTTCCACCATTTTCAATTAAATATAGGATTTAAATGAATTGCACATCATTTTTAATTACATTTTGCACAGCTTCCCAAATGGGGTTGTATAAGGAAGTATTGATTAGATAAAGCAGGATTTGGACGATAACAACAAACATGGGCTACTTCAAAGATAGACTTCTAATTTTTAAGCTAACATAATTACAAACATAAAATTACAATTTACTGTAGAAATGTTTATAAATGTTTATTAATGAATATTAGTGTTTTTCCAGACTAAATAAACACCCACATTAATGGCATTTTCTCACATGGCCTAAGACACTTGCACAGTATTGCAAAAAGCCAACAAATGTAAAATGTCTTCTAGTCTCTCTACTATTCATTATGTAATACATGCTGAGATTTTTTTTTAGTCTGATGATTAAGTACAGTGCCCACCACCATCTGATGTGCACAGCATCAACTACATTACCCACAAGGCCACATCAGCGCGAAACAGGAAGTCACCTGGTTTGGGGTGGAGCACTTCTTCTCGTAGGAGAGTCTGTTAGCATCTATGGAGAAGCGAAATCCCGATCGCCTGATGCTGTCTTCCGACTCCGATTTGTGGAACTTCTCCTGGTCTGCCTTCTCCTCTTCCTCCTCCTTTTGTTTTCTTTTTTTACGCCTATTCCGCCGCTCCTTGGCGCTCTTGGAGCTGAGTCTGGACCCCCCAGAGGAACTCTCCTCCGACAACCCGCCCCTCCCGCTGTACTCGCCGCTCTCTGTCGCTGCTGCCGCGGCAACCTGCCAGCCAACCACAGCACAGGCACCGTTGTCAGGGGCAACAAGGGCTAGACTTAGTTCAAGCTCACATACCAGGAGCAGAAACAGACAGACCCAAATATCAGCTTTTGGAGACAGACGGACAGTGAGGGAAGTAAACAGAAAGGAGTATGAGAAAGAAGCTTGTCTTTTAGCTGCAGGATTACATGAATTCAATTCAAATGCTAGGCTTCTTCCTTCCCCTCCATTTCATTTTTAACATGGTGTTCTCTTTCTCTAACTCATGAGTCACTGTTTGATTCTATGTGACATCACTGCTCCCTTGATAATGAGAAGAGGCTTTAGGTGCCTCTTATGACCTTAATGTGAATAACCAATTTGACCTTTCTGAGCGAGGGAGGGAGAGACAGGGGAGAACAAGGGGGAGGAGAGGGGGATGGGGAGGAAAATAGATTAATGGTTAGGGAAAAAGTCAGACAGGAAAATAGCATGTTAGGGTGAAAAGGACTACCTGGAAAGCTAAAGAATCAAAAGTTAGCCAAATCTGGACTAAGCTTTAAATTCCAGTAATCTACAAGATGCGTACCAACAGACAGCATGGCTGCCACTATTAATTTATACCTTTCCTATGAACCTTATGAACTGGAATAAACATACATATAGAGCCACCATTTGCTGTACTTCACATTTCTGTCTCTCTCACTGTTTACTCTTAGGAAGGAGACTCTCTCTCGTTATCTGCTTTGGTTTCCATGGTAACAGAAGAACGTTAGCCACACCAGTGCACAGAACAACTCCACAGAGGAAGGGGGGGAAAGCAAGATAAAAGAACAGGAAGAAAAGAGTAACTAATGAACATACACAATGATGTGAAAAACTGGATGACTGCAAGTGTAAAAACTATATATGAGTTCATGTATGTGTGGGTGTGTGCATGCAGGTGTGTTAGAGCAAGTCAGGGGTGTCTCTTGTGTATTTGTGTATCAGTGTCTTTGATTACTGGTGGGAGTATTAGTCAGGGGTTACAAGAGTGTTCTAGCATCGTTAACTATTCCTGCTATTGCTACATCACAGAAAGATACAGACTAATCATGTGTCACCGGAAAAATGAAGGGCCAATCATGTTTTAGCTTTGACAGAGGGCACTGCTTTCATTGCTTGTAGTACAGATTCTGAAGCCCAGTCCCAAATGGTGCAGTCCACAATCGCGCATGCATGTGAGGGCCACAAGACTGTAGGGCAAGCATGATAGACTGGGGACCTTCCGGGCCAAAATGCTGCAGAGACTAGCATTTACCTTCATCTAACGCTCTAATTTCAGTTCATGTAGGCCTGGCAAATTAGCTGATGAGCTGAATGAGGTGTGTTTAATGAGGCAGTGCGCTGATGTCCGCAGTATTTTGGCCCGTGAGGACTGGATCCTGACGTGCTGTAAAATGTACAATTTCCGGGCTTGGTGATCAAAGGGGTGCTCAACAGCTCCTTCTGCAATCATGCAAACTCAGTAGCGGCCTCTTTCCTAAAGTTCCTAAGTTGTAGCTGAGGACCAATCAGCTAAGAGAGGTTTGTTTACAGCTGTCTGCCCAACATGGCCAATAGCATCTGTTTAAACCAAGCACCATTGAGGTTTCTTGTCCTATAGGTCTGTGCGTTGTTGACCTCATCAATGTGTGGACTTTGAGGAGAACAGCACTGTTTAGAGTGCCATTTGGAACCAGGCTTGATGGTGCAGAGTAGTGTAAGCCAACCCTGGTCCTGGATATATACCTTCCTGCAAAATATAGTTCCAACAACTGCTCAAGCTATTTAACTTCCTCAGGAGTCCCTGATTGGCTGGACCAGATGCTTTATGATTAGGTGGGGGCAGGGGGTGCATGTTAGATGCCGGTTAGGACTAAAATCTTTTGTAAAAGATCACGTGAAACTGCATTGATGAATTGAGTTCACTATCCATATAAAAACAAATATGACAGATCTTACCTTTAAGACAGCCCTCATAATTTCCAAATTTGCAGATTATGCGTAAATGGAACTACCTAGCTGCTTTGGTACGTGCATGGTGTAACTTTTAACTACCTAACAACATCCATTTCTGTTGCCTTGTTGGCTACAGGAGCTACAAAGGTAAACGTCTGAGAACTCAGGAAGAGTTCAACCCCCAATCAAATTCCAGTACAACCCCTTGTGTTAGTACATATGTGTGGGTCTGTGTATATTTGTTAACCTGTGCCTCCTCCTGCTGTCTTTTTAGCTGCTCCAACATGGCCTGGAACTCCTCCTCTTTCTGTTGGGCCTCCTCAATGGTAGCCTGGTTTTGCTCATCGTAAGCCATTGCCACCACAGCCAGGATTAGATTGACCAGGTAGAAGGAGCCCAGGAAAATCACCAGCACAAAGAACACCATGTAGGGCTTTCCAGCAGCACGAAGAGTCTGGAAGGCAAAATAAACATAACGTTTAAACAATCATACTGTGGCATCAGAGCACGCCTGTGTTCTGTTTAGCGTAAAAATAATAGGGTAGCCTTTTCAGAAAATATTGTGCATGCTAGTTTTAGGTTATGTAGATCATTAGAAATGCTTTTTTGCAGGGACTTTTGTTGTGAAGGGCGGGGCTAGGTTCTGCTAAGGCAGAGGCTGTTGTAGCAGTGTGAGAGAAAGCTAGAGCCAGCTAATGGTAGGAGCAGAGAGCTAGACTGAGAACTGTGTATTCCCTCTTGCCGTTGTCATTTAAAACTGAGAGACTACAACCATTATTTAGTTTTTACAACTCCATTTCCTGGAAGTGGAAGTCATTCTCTATGCAAGAGAGCTTGTCCTTTGGAAAACGCAATGGATGAATTGAATCAGCCAAGCAAATCAAAGCTTGCTAATAGCATTTCAAGAGATGGTTCAGACACAGACAGTCATTCCAACAAATAGAAGCAGACATAATGGACAAATGTAAAAACAAAATTCAAGCTGTTACTGCTATTTTTAGCTATCAATGTTATACAGTGTCAGAAACCATATAGGCAAGTATTTAAGATAACTCAATAACTTCATGCATTTTGAGGCAAGTGTGTGAATGAATTAGCATTTTGGCCAAACCAGCACTTTAAAAGCATGACGAATGTTGGACAGCACACCTGCTGGTAGAGATTCTCCCAGAAGTCCTGTGTCATAAGGCGGAAGAGGGAGAGGAAGGCCCAGCTGAACGTGTCGAAGCTTGTGTAGCCGTAGTCAGGGTTACGTCCAGCCTTTATGCACTGAAAACCTTCTGGACACTGCCTGCAAAGTCCAGCCAGTCAAAGAGACACTCTCAGCATGTTTAACCAATCAGAGAGTCCACAGTAGAACACAGATCAGAGAGAAGTACTGCGCAATCAATCAGTGGAATACTATGCACTCAAACCACTTGAAAGGACCTACGGTTAGATTCCACTGTATTCCAGTTATCAAAGAATATATTCAAGCAAACTGCTAAATGGGGTGTGTTAGATGAAATAAATAATTGGGATTCCTACCCTGCATCGCTAGCATTCCCACACAGTAAAGCATCTCGGCGGTTGGGGAGGAAATAATAATTACCTAAGGAGAAGAGAACAATAAAAGATGAATGACAAAGCAAGGAATAGGTATGACGCAAGCACACACACATACACACAGAGGCACTTTTGACATGCTCATGCAATTTGTTCTTGGACTGGATGCTGTAGCTTACAGGGAGTGTATCTGTGTCCAGACTAAGTTTGGCCTTTGAACCACACAGACTATGAGCTCACTCCCTCAAGCAGAGAGGTCGCACACACACATACACAGATGCTCCAAGCACACAGTGACTCATTTGACTTGGACCAGTGGTACACTCCCCACGGCCCCAAGGCCCTCTTGTGTCACCACACATCTGAGTGTGACACATATACGCTAACTAAATCACAAGGAGAGGTGTACACACTCATGCTCTCATATACATACTCACAAAAATGTAAACATAGATATATGGTGTCTGCTACAGGTTTGGAGACATCTAACAACATATTATGTAGAAAAATGGCAAAGATATTTCTTTGAAAACACTGTAAAACTTATAGTCAAATAGTCTTGCTCAATTTTCCTGCCTTGCAAATAAACGTTCAGAATAAAAATCATGACATTTTGCAGTACAGTTCCAGAGTTGACTGTTAGCTTGGAGAACTTGTCAGTCTCCCAGAGTTCCTTGCACTGCTTCAGTTGGTGGCCTACCGTAAGACATTCAGCATTACAATTTCAGTAAAGATCTTAGCTTTCTGTGCAATTAAATGTTTTTACTCTATGTCAATCACTATGCCAATGTGTGCAGGAAGAAAAGCAGTACTTCACTGCAAACTACTGAAAAACTGTGAAACAGGTAACAGTTAAAAGTTGCTGCTGCTACAAATAACCTAAATTGCAATGAAACACATAATTTGTACTGAGAAACATTTGCGTGCATTTAAAACACTTCAAACCAGAAGATCTCATGAAGGACTTTGGAACTAGCGTCAAATCCATACTGGAACACACGTATTTCTGTGGACACTTGACAGAAACGGAAAACCTGAGGCTGCGTTAGGCTGCTTGTAATAACTCACACTGCTTTAGCTGTTAGAAAGAGTCCTCACTTGACAACATTATGTTTGTCTAAGCTGAGCAGAGTTACCTGAAAAATTTTGAGGTATTTAGTTTTGCATTCATAAGATGACTTCACAGACTTTAGTATGCATTTCCCTCTTGTACTTCAGCTGCCGTCGTGTCTCTTTTATCATTTCCTAACATGAACTGATGATAAATTATATGGTATATGGTTACATGGTTTAATCAACTCAGAAAATGTAACTGCGTCACTAGTCTCTGCCATATTACGAAATATTGTATTCCCACTTTTTCTGTTGTTTGATGCATTAGTGGAAGGGTTTGAAAAGAGCTGAGTGAGTAGATGTGAGAATGTTTCAGTTGTGGTTGAGTGCGTATATACAGAGTGTATACACCATGTACATCAAGCCACTACAGTGATTCTTGGGAGCTGAGTGCTCTCTCTGTTTGATACATGACCAAAGACCTCACTGGTCTGTTTTTTTTCCTTGCACTTCTTTTTAAATGGCTTTTATGTTAAAACCCCTTCTTCGAATGTATGGTATGATAGCCATACGTGACTGTTTCCATTGATAAAAATGCTATCTTGGGAATAACGGGAAACCTCACATTTTATTTTTGTTGTTAAGTTAGCACTCAAACTTTTCAGGTGCTTAAACCAACTTTTGTGGCAAAAGAGAACAGTTTGAAAATAAAAACTGTCTAATTAGTATTTAGGCGAACACCAAGGAGGACCAAAAGTTGCACAGATATACCAAAAATGAGTTTTTTGGGGTTATTTTTCTTACTTAGAGTAGTAGTGAAAATCAAACATTACTTTGAAAATTTCAAAAGAAGGCAAGCGGTCACCAAACGTTTGATGGTGCAGTGAAGATATTAATAGGAGACTGGTGAGAAAGCGAGGAGAAACAAAAAGCAAGGACACTGAGACATCTCATTCGTGCTTACTCTCATCGAGAATGTACTGAGTCCAGTTAAAGGTATTCAGCCCTTTGTCTGCGCTGAGGTTGAATGCTGCGGTCAGGCTGCTGTTGGCCAGGCCCTCAGTGCCGTTGGACTGCGGCATCCTCACACACTTCTGCCGCAGGTTCCCCATGAACAGCTGCAGGCCAATTAGTGCAAACACACTCAGGCAGAAGACAGTTAGGATCATCACGTCCGACAGTTTCTTCACTGACTGGATGAGAGCGCCCACGATGGTCTTCAGGCCTGCAGGGATACATGTCAGACGTCATACACACCCGCGCAGACACACACAACCACAAAAACCTTCACTCACACGGTTTGCTCTGAAACTTTACTTAGGGTTTAAGAAATGTTTCATAGGCTCTATGACAGAATTAAACAGACCGAGATTTAAGAACAAGCGTAATAATTAAGATACATTTTTCTATCTGGGTATTTAGCAAAAGCATAAACACCAGACTTGCTTTTTTACTACGTAACAAGTAACTAAGTATCTGTGCAGTATTTAGGCAAAAAGCTGATGAATGCCATACGCAAGCATGCATATTACTGTGTGGCTGCTTTACTGAGTGAGATACTTCTGTGTTTCCTTTTCATGACTGGTATTATGACAACAGTCATGTAGTCATTATTTAACTAGTTTAGTAGATGAGCCAGTTTAGTATTTGCTAGTAATGAAAGTATGTTGTTGCATTATTAGTGCATTAGAATGTTTTGAGATGCTGCTTGTTAAAAACATTAAGGCATGCAGTGTTTGTGTGTGTGCGTGCACTGTATAACTGCATTTTGTGTTTGTGTGTTTGCAGGTGTTGCACATGTATGAAGGGGTCAGAATAGTGTATGGGTATGTGCAAATGTGCTGTGTGTGTGCTTCATGTGTGTGTGAGTGTGTGTGTCATGGCAAAGTCCTGCCATGCTTCACACTCACACAACACGAAATAAAACAGACTGGCGACGGTGCGCATGCACACAGAACTCAAACAGGAGACAGACAAGGAAGAGAAGAGAAGAGAAGAGAAGAGAAGAGAAGAGAAGAGAAGAGAACTGATGAGAACAGAAGAAAAGAGAAGAGAAGATAAGAAAAGAGTTAAAGAAAAGACAAATAAGGAAGAGAAGAGAAGATAAAGGAAATAAAGAGAATATTAAGGAAGAATAGAGAAGATTTAAAGAAAAAGAAGAGAAGGTAATAAAAGTCCTCCAAAACATCACGCTGTAGCCTTTAGCAATGTCTCATGCAAAACAATAACACAAATCAAAACGGCCTGTCTATTCCCCAAGACATGATCTTTGGGAAATAACAGAGCGGAATCTAACAGAAGGAGTAAGGAACATTACAAAGTGTTCTACAAAAGCCTGGAATCCTTTTTTTCCCCCTTTGCTTTTCCATGCGAATGGATTCCTGCTTTCTCAGGCCGCTAGGAGCGACAGAATGAGAGAGAGAGGCCAGCGGAGGAGGGGATGGCGTGAGCGAGAGTTCGGATGGATAAAGAGGCAGCCTCTGGCCTTGAGCTGTGAGCTGTGAGCTAGCTCTCACCTGGGATGACTGAAATAGTTTTGAGTGCTCGTAGAACCCTGAAGGTTCTCAGTGCAGAGACATTGCCCAGATCCACAAATTCAGTTACATATCTGTAAGGAGGGGAGGGAGGGATAGGGTGGGGGGGAATCACACACACACACACACAACGTTAGGACGGGACAAAGGCAGCAAGAAAGAAGGGAAACGTCACACACACGCACACGGACGCACACCTGACTGACACCTTGTGCTTGCGCATACACACACGTGCGCAATAAGGAGGCATGCGCACGCCTACACGCACACACACGCACGCACATCCCTTACCTGGGATAACTGAGATTGTTTTCAATGCTCTGAGCACTCTGAAAGTGCGGAGAGCTGACACATTGCCTAGGTTTACAAACTCAGTTACATACCTGTAGGATCAAATAGAGAGTTACCACAGAGCCCACACACACTCGCTCTCTCTCACAGACACGCATATACATCGCTCAAACAAAATCACTAAGGTCATCCTCTTCATTTACATACTCACAATCAAACATGGCATCACTAAAACAGCACCCAACACTGTAAATAAGGTAAAGTCAGGCCAACTTGAAGGTTTAAGTCCATTTTCTGCATAGCTTTTTCTGCATAGCTTCACAGAAGCTTTTTTAATTTTAGGTTTAGCTTATTTCAGTCATTTTAGTCACCTTCCAAAGTTTCCTCAAAAAGGGCATTAAAACGAATGTTTCATACTTTTTATTTATTTGTTGGCTTTTTCCACTTCGCTGTGTGGGCATGCTGTATATTCATCGGCACCTCTTCATTGACAGTATGTGTCAAACATAACAGAGCAGCTTAGTTTTAAGTAAGGCGCAGATGCATCACACTAATTCAGCCTTATATGAATGAGTCTGAGGAGAGTGCTAATACCAGACACCAACTAAGGATTAGCCTGGTTATTCAAATATATGGTACCTTAACTCATCTTAGAGGTAGAAGGACTTATAACATTGTAAACATATATACATGTATACAACATATTTTTTAAACAATCAGCTCTCAGACAGCTAACAGGGTAACAGGCTTTGGGGAGTTAATATTAGGCTTTAAGCTCAAATAATTTGTACAAATTTTACTAAAAAACTAAAAATAACGTTGAAGTTAACGAAGTATAAAGTTAAAACATGTTACATGTGTCTTCAGCTGGACGTCTTCAGCTGCCACAAAAACCTCCTGGGAGACAATGAATGAATTGCACTGTTAGCTTGATGCTAACATACAATGGAGAATTCCATATAGGTGCAAGCAGAAATTATGCTAGCACAATGCTAGTAAGGCTAAACGCTTAAACAAAAGCTGGTAAGGTTTAAAAATATGACAAAAATAAAAAAGTTCATGATCTTACTGGAATCCTATCTTTTATTTTAGCGTGTTCAGGCTGTGCTTGATCGTGGATAAAGATGATGATTGGTAGACAACACCAGCAGAAGAAAAAAAATTGAAAGAAAGAAATTCAGGCCATTTCAGACTGTCCAGTAGAATAATGTGGTGGGGCAAGTTGATTTCACCATTTACGAATATGCAATACAAGGTTGACTATGATTCGCTGTGGTCAATTAGTGTTATGTATGAGGCCTAGATAACAGCACGTGAAGCATATTTCCAATAAGGTGTCTAGAGGGCAGAATTTTGTTGTTTAAACATTCAAATTGACCTAACTTTTAATTCTTTACAGTGCAGACACATACTAACAATCACACAGTTCTCTTAAAGCAACTTAAGGAGCTGACTAAGGTTTATCCACAGTGTGCACACATAAGAATACCTCTTACATTTCTCAGACAATACATTGTCTATAACGCTATGCTATAATACACTATAATAACAATATGCATAATAATCCATAGCATGCGTTACAGCAAGAGACACTCAGGGACACGCACGCCATGACGATGACGCTGAAGTCCAGCCAGTTCCAGGGGTCTCGCAGGAACGTGAAATTCCCCACACAGAATCCCCGGGCCAGGATCTTAATCAGAGACTCAAATGTGTAGATCCCTGTGAATGTGTACCTGCATGACAAAAAAAAACACTCTTATCCATGAAGAGACATAATAAAATCCAAATATTTGAAATATATTAGCCTAAGAACGCTAGCAGGTTTATTATTCAGTTATTAAGACTTATCAAAAACAATAAACCACTCATGACTGCAGTAAAGCTATAAAGTAATATATTTATTACTGCCACTCATTGCTGTAGCGAAGTAGTAAAGCAATAAACGTATCATTAATAACAATCACAATAAACAGCCTCTGTGTTGATCAGATTTTAGAACTGAAACTATCCATTGTTATAATATTACGAATTGCTATAAAATATCGAGCAAGTGTCATGAAACTTGTGATTTTACTACGAAGTCAGTAGTAAATTCATAATATGCATGGGTTTACTATGAAATTAATTATGAGCCCATATACAGGCCCTTGCAGCTCAAGTAATCAATCCACTCAGCCTATAAAAATGTTTAGAAAACTAAATCAGGGGACCAGATGGCTTTGTCAGTCCTCTAATACGCATATCGTTGTTGTCCAAAAAAAACATGAATCTCCACTTTTTCAACTTCTATTTTTTATGTCTTTTGAACACAACATTGTGTGAACACTGCATGAAGCATGGACCAATAGAAACGCTCCAAAATGAATACTATCTCTTTGCACTAACGTCCACAAAACGTTTTTGCCTTCTCCTAAAAAGTTCCCATTTCTGAGATGTTTTTGTTGGACAGTTACGATATGCATACATGAATAAACCACACACTGTAGCTACACTGAGGACAGACTTACTCCACATTCTTGGCCCATTCTGGAGGGTTGCTGAGCGTCATGAAGGCGCAGTTGGTCAAAATGGTGCACATGATCACGAAACTGAACATCGTGGACAGCAGTCAAGGAGCGTAAATCAAGACAAAACATTCTCGTTCTTCATCTCTCTCAATCATGCACACTTACACATACAGTTTTAGTGCTCACACACAAATCCAAACTCCTATAGTGCGTTCTAAGGTATTGTGCTAGAGAAGGATATGAATGCACCAGCACTTTAATGGCGGCTCTCCTCAGAGGGTTGAAGGGACTGAGGATGTAGAGGGCAGGCGTGGCGTTGAAGCGGAATATAGCCTTCCCACGGTTCAATACTATAAAGGTCTGAAACAGTGAGAGGAGTGTGGTCAGTCTCTGCTCTGCTCAATAAACATTATGAAATAAATACCTTACTACACGTTCACAACTAGCTCTTCGATTCGTCACCCACCTCCCTCTCTTTCCCTCTCTCCCTCCTGTGCTCCCTCTCTCTGCCAACTTCACTCGCTCAATCTCTCTTTCTCTCCTTCCCTACCACCCTCTGTCCCTACTTCTCTCTTTACCCCTTTATCCTCCCTTTTTTCCTTTCTTTCTGTTCTCTCCCTCTTTCAAGGTCTCCTTCTCTCCCTATCTCACTCCCTTTCTCCCTCTCACTGTCATACCTCTACTTTCTTTCCCACCTCCATCTCTCCTTCCCTACCTCCCCATTTCCTCTTACTCTGCTTCTCCCTCCCTATCTACCCTTCCTCCTTTCATCTCTCCCTTCCAAGCTCCCTCTCTCTCCCTACCTCTATCTTCATCTCCTTCACTCCCTCCCTATGTTCTTTTTCTCCCCCTCTCTTCCTCCCTAACTCTATCTCGCTCCCTCCCTAGCTCTCTTTCAGTCTCCCACTCTCTGAACTTCCCTCTGCCAGTCTCTTTCTCTCTTTCACTATCTACCCCTTTTCCTTCTTCACTACCTCCCTCATACCCTTCCTTCTTCACTACCTCCCTCATACCCTTCCTTCATTCCTCGTTCGCCCCTCCCTGCCTCTCTTTTTTCTTCTTTCCTCTCCCCCTTCTCTCTTTAGCTCCTTCGCTCCTCTATCAAATTCCATCTTTTCTGTTCTATCTCCCTCCCTCCCTTCCTCTCTCGTACTCTCTGGTCGTGGTAGTAGGTGTCCAGGTCCTCCAGAGGGACAGACACCAAGCCCGATGGGATGTCCCCGTAGATGAAGGGCAGGGATTTCCCCGCCTCCAGGTCACTATTGGGCTTGGGCCCATTCTCGTCGTCTTCATCACTGCGCCTCTCTCCTTTGGGACGGTGGGCCGCCTCCTCTGCGATGCGCCGCTCGATGGCAGCGAGGGATTCGGGAATGAAGGGCCGGAAGCTGTCAGGTCCGGGAGGAACGAGCAGCTGGGCGGCCATATTGACATCCTGCTCCTGCAGCCGGACCAGCTAACCTACTGTCACACCGGGGGCTGATGACCAAACACAAAAACAACAGACAGAGATTCAGACTTCTAGACTCCTTACTGCTTTTAAAATGGTCAGTGTGATTCCAAAACAAATAACGAGCAAATTCAGTGAACAATTACATTTTTAATGGGGCATAAATCCGTTTTTGTCCACTGTTATACAAGGTTGTATCTGCAGACTGGTAGAAAATATAATGAACAGGGAAATAACTTAAAAAAAAAAAAGAAACTGCCATATTCAAAGCTAGATGACAGTTAAATGAAAATGACAAATATTATCGTGTAAAATATTAATCTAAAGTCATTTCATAAATCTATAAAGATGTATTTGCTGACTGTATGTCAACCATATACACTAATCCCCAAAAACACTGATTTTCAAAGATAAAAGCCTGAACCCTAACTTTGATACATCATCAGCCAAAACAGCAGGTTTTTTGACAAACATTTTGGAAGAATTAGAACTATCTGATATGAACACAACACACTGGGAACAGTGTAATAAACTACTTATAAAATGGAGAGATTCTCTAGGCTTAACCTTAACTAAATGTACAACTATATTTCCTAAAGCGATCTAGCAGATCTACCTCAATTCTATCCAGAGGCCATCAACAACAAAAAGAACACAGATGGTCATTGTTAGCAAGACGTACACAAACATACACATACGATAAGCCCAAAAGTATCTAAATACATCCAACTACTTATACAGTTATTCCACTCATTTTTCAAAATCTCTGCATAATTCAATAACTGAGATGTAAACAAAGTGTTTTGATGTGAAATAGTGCATCTTTGAGAAAATTACAATGCATTTATTTGTTATTTTACTCATTTTATTTTTTTAGTTTTATATGTAATGTTGATGAATGTAAAATAGAGATAAATCTGAAAAAATAAGTTTTCTCTGGGCATTATTTTGCCTAACAATGCCCTGCATGTACCTGTCTTCCAATAATGAATTTTAAAAAAACACATTTTAAGCCTTACCTCAAAAATCATTTTAACACAATGTCTGACAAATTAATCAGCGTATTTGTAACCATTTCACGTAATAACCTTCTATGACGTAGTGTTTTAGAGGCAATAAACTCTTAAGATCTCTGGTTCCTGCCACCACTGTTCTGACTCAAAATAGTTTCTCTATAAGGGCACATTTCACATCAAACCACTCTGAATGACCCTGTTTATTTCTCAAAAATTTAATTATGCAGAAACTTGGAGAAATCAGCAGAATTCCATTTTTTAAGGTGCACCCACTGCAGTGTGCACACACAGCTTGTAAACGTCCATAGGAAAGCAATGTGAAAGATTGGGACTCTCTGAAGCAGCTGCACGTAAGTCCAAGATTATAATACCCAATGTCAAGAGGGGTACAAAGCCCCCAGCACTGGACTGTGGAACAGTGGAACTGTGTTCTCTGGCGTGATTAGAGCACCTTTGGGATTTGGGAGTTGGAGTAGGGGTGGGCAATATGATGATATTTTATAGTTGTGAGAAATTATGAAATTAATTCAATTATGTTTTTCTGAGCATATCACGGATATCATCAGCACTTAAAAACACTTCCCAACCGCACATTTCATTTCAAAGAAAGCATAATTAGCCCTCTTTAATTGGATTTAGTTCTGTGCAGTTTGTGTAATGTTCAATAAAAACCATTGTATACAAAGAATTCAATTTCTTTTTATTACATTTCAAAAAGTTACTATACTGTAGTGGTAGGTTTATTATAGTATTTTAATAGTTTTATACACTCTGAGAAATAAAGGTACTAAACTGTCACTAGGGCAGTGCCCCTCGTGTCACTGGGGTGGCACCCTCAAGGGTACATCTCAGTACCTGTAGTCAGGGAACATAATTGTACTATTATCCACTGAAATTACATTTTCTAAGTTGTATTGACTCCACACACCTCATCTCGTCTTTATTGTTCTGTTGTAAAACATTAGGTTATGAAAAGATGGACTTTTCACCTGGAAAAACTTGTTTAAGGTACACAATTGGACCTTAAAACCATTGTTGTACCTTCGAGGGAAAATTTTTCACTATCTACCCCTTTCCCTTCTTCACTACCTCTCTCATACCCTTCCTTCTTCAATTCATTCCTCATTCGCCCCTCCCTGCATCTCTTTTTTCATAATTGTACTATTATCCACTGAAATTACATTTTCTAAGTCTCCAGGCTTTTTATTTTATTGTTCTGTCTTAAAACATTAGGTTATGAAAAGACACAAATATGTACTTTTCACCTTGAAAAACCTATTTAAGGTGCACAATTGGACCTTAAAACGAAAAATGTACCTGCAGAGAACCTTTATTTCTAACAGTGTTGTAATGGCAATACAGGTTATATATTGTCTGTTGCAACTCATTAAACCTCAGAACTAAATATTGTGATGCCTATAGTGTATGATAAAAATATTGTGATATAATAAAATTGCCCACCTCTAAGCTGGAGTTCTATTTGTTATCCACAAGCAAAGGGGAGACAAACATCCTATTAATGCCTTTGATTTCAGAAGAAATGTTGATATTTTCATATTTGTTGTTCACTTACATAAAACATGCAAAGAATCTTCCATCTTACTGCCAAACTAACAAGCATAAAATAGGGAGGCTTGCTTTGTAAATAGGATGTCAAAACACATGTGGTTAACTGACTTAACCAACTTGATTTAGTTACCTGAACAATTACTGCACCAACCAAATTAGTTGGTACACATTTTCTGTTAAAATCCTGTTTTAAAATATTTCTATTAAGGAAGATTTGCTGAGCCAGACAACCCTGTACAACACCAAATCTCGACTGAAGAGACAGGCAAGATTCATAGAAGAGTCCACGGTGCCCGCTGAGATGCCATCATCAGCAAAACACAAAAATGATGGAATTTCTCTTGGCATGTCTTCTGCAAATCTCTAGAACTCTCCTGGACATCGTCCCCACAAAACCATTCTTCCATAAGACATTCCATGATAATCTGTCATAACTCTATGTGTGTGTTCATGCACATGCGTGTGTTTAGGTCCATGTAACTCTGCAAATGACAGTGCCAGGTCTATGTGTTTCACCAGAGCAGTGATGCTAGCAGGTCAGCCAGGCATAAATGGCCCTGAACTGGGCATCACCCTGGAGATGTACAAATCTTCCTCTTCATTCTCTAACTCATTCTACATCAGAATACAAAGTGAATTTGTGTGTGTGGATATAAGAACAGACAGAAAGGGAGATCGTGAGAGAGAGACACGGAGAAAGACAAGTACATAGTCTTTAAGATGGATCTCCATAAGATTCAAGTGGATTGAGTAAATTACTGTTAGATTATGCAGTAAATTGACAGCTGGAGTCATTCCAAACAGTGGTGTGGCCTCAAACGCACCTAATGCAATGAGCGCGACAAAATAATCAGTCCCAGTGGAAACACAACGCCTGCCAGACTGTGTATTTGGTTCTTCTTATGGCAGATAAGTGTCTCTGGTTATCTATAATGGCTTTTCATTCTCAGCCATATCCATCAGAACACTCCACAGGCAAGAATTTCTGGACATCTGACCACACCTCTTAAAGATGTAATGATATGAGAAATTACCAAAAACTACTTTTCCTGTTTCCTTTTTACCACTGTTGCTGTTGCTGTCTGCATGCATTCTTGCTTCGATTAACATATTGTTTTATGTATTACTTTTTGATAAAAATGTATGGGCATCCCAAAATCACAATGGGGTGGGGTGCACCAGGCATCAGGATAGAAACAAAGCACAGCTAAGGAAAATGTTGGGAGAGAAATCTACATTAGATCTGTTTAAAGGTGCCACAAATTCAGAGAAGAATCAACAGGACAGCCAAGTTTACAGCAAATCACCAAAGGTCTACCTGTTCAGGAAACCTTCCTTTTGGTTTACTTTCTCAAGCACAACCCTAAAATACAGTCAATATGAAAGTGACGCATGTGAAACCTCCTATTTTACTTAAAGTAATCTTTTACGTTTCAAAATAGTCCGTTTGGGAAAGCATCATGATTAGTTAGTGGGACCTCTAAATGACTCCTGACACCAGGACTGCCTAACACTCACTCTAATCCTAATCTTGCTCTAAACTCAAAACCTAAACCTCACCCTAACCCTGTTGATTATCATTCATGATTTGAATTTCTAACCATTTGAACATTTAAAGATAAGCTACAGGGTGCCATCAAAATAAAGTGATATATCTGACAGTGGGAAAAACAGGTTAGACGTACGCAGTCTACATATTTTCATCATGTGTTGCAATATAAAAGCTACACATAAACATATTTGACATCTGAAAATATTACTTAAATGTTTTTCATAATCCTTCTCCTAGACTGACACATCTTACACAACCCATCAGCTCCCCTGAAAAGCCCTTCATGTTGCTAAAATTGGTGTGTTAACCTATAGCAGGGGAAACATGCAGTGCAGTGGGACTGGGAAACACTGGACTACAACTAGTCATCACACTACATTTATCATCTTACTGCAAGTGAGAAGTGCCTGAAAGCAGTCGTTTTTATCTCATTAACCGATGAGACGCAAAGATTCAGCTTATATCCATTCCAAAGTAAGTTTGTGTCTAACAGGACGGTATTTAGTATTTAGGCCTGATCACACAGCACCAACAGCAACCGCAGAAGAGTCTACATGTCTTTGATGTACGTCACTCCTGGGACCTCTCTGACTCACTGTCCATTCAAGCACCAGATACTCTTTGCAATACAACAGAACAGCACTCATGTCTAATACTGTGCCCAGTGGCAGATACAGAACATACAGTATTTGTGCATGTGTGTGTGTGTGTGTGTGTGTGTGTGTGTTTCCTCAAATGGCGAGCGGGCACTGTCTCCTCATCTCTCCCAGATCGGTGCCTCAGTGGCGCCCAGCGAGTGCAGCATGTTCTCCATTGAGAGCACAGACACAAACAACTCCTTCTCCATCATCAGCCTTCTACCATCTAACTCCCCCTCCAAAAAAAGACAAGC